AGATCACGAACGAGATTTCCCTGTTTTGTGATTTGGTCGTTCAAGTCACCCGAAGCTGGTGATGGTTCGGTTTTCACTGGGGCAGCATTTGGTGTCCAATCTTTGCCCGTTTGTGTTTTGAAATCGGCTTTTAGTGCCAACAACGTCTTTACAGCTGCGTCGATTTCTGATTTGTCAGCCTTTTTGGACTTGAGGTCACGAACGAGATTTCCCTGTTTTGTAATTTGGTCGTTCAAGTCGCCCGAAACTGGTGAAGACTCTTTTTTCACTGGAGCAGCGTTCGGTGTCCAATCTTTGCCTGTTTGTGCTTTGAAATCGGTTTTAAGGGCCAACAAAGTTTTTACCGCAGCATCGATTTTCGCTTTGTCCGCCTTCTGAGACTTAAGATCACGAACCAAATTTCCTTGTTTTGTGATTCTCTCGTTCAAATCATCGGCTGACGATGACAATGCACTGCTGCTTGCCGTTGTGACTTTGGCTGCCGCTGATGTTGCCGTTGATGATTTCTGTGAACCATCTGGAATTTCGAACAAAATTACCGGCGATGCTTTGCCGGTGTGGATACTAGGTGGAGCATAAGCATTGTCAACACGGAAGAAACCACGTCGTTGCAGTTGAATAATGTCACCAACTTTGCATTTCTTCAATTCCGGATCACCCAACATTGGAACCTCTCTCTAAATTTCGAAATAAAAATTGATTTAAAAACAATTGAATTTGAAACGATTTTGCTGTTAATACTTACTCTTGTATCTTTAGCAACATATTGCTTGAAATCTTCATCTTTGCCAAGCACTGCTTTGCTGATAATGTGTTCGAAGTAGACGCAAACGGTTGGTGGGAAATCATCTTTCGATGCGCCTTCATACAACCAAGTCAATTTAATTGTCTTTTTATAATCTTTATTCTCCAAATTCGGTACGGCATCAATAGATGTAATCTTTTTGCTTGCATTCCGATTGATTTTCTTGATCAATAAATTTCCCCAATTGATGAATGTCGTGTTTTCTCCTTCCTTCAACATTTCCGCATCTTCGTAATCGATCAGAATGCGTGGACCGGTCCAAATAGTTTTTTGACCAACTTCTGGATTCTTTGGATGTGCGGCAACTTGAACCTGTTCAGCTTTAGTCACACCGGCCACGTTGACAACAACCGTTTTATTCAGCGTCAAGGCAGTGTACCGCGGTGCAATCGGATCGATGACTTTTTTATTGAATGCCCAAATTTTATCCCATTCCATGAAGACAACTGACTTGCTACTACCTTGAGCGATTATGAACTCACGTAATCCGGGCACTGTAAGACCTCGCCGCAGGATACCACGCACGGTTGGAAAACGTGGATCATCCCATCCGTCGACCAGACCTTCGTCAACAAACCATGTCAATCGTCGTTTTGATAGAACCGTATTGGTCATATTCAATCGACTGTAATCGTAGATTTCTGGCCGACGCAAATTGAGTGCCTCGATGAACCAATTAAACTGTGGGTTACGGTCGTGATATTCGGTCGTTCGCAGTGTATGTGTAACACCTTCGATAGCATCAACAATTGGACACGCAAAATCATATGTTGGATACACTCTGAAAGTTATGGAAATATTATAACAGTTCAAAATAAATTATTGATTAAGAAGTGTTACTTGTATTTTCGTCCCGTTCTTGGATGTTCTTCATCTTTGCACCGGTAAATGGTTGGATCACGCATACAACCGTTGTGTGAACCCATGTCGATTTTGGCGCGAACACAACACTTTTTGCCAGCAGCCGATCCAATCAACATTTCTTTCCACATTTTTAGATTTTTCTCATATGCTGAAAATGGACGAAATTACCCATCGATTAAATTAACCATTTCTTTTGTTGAAATCGTTAAAATCTGTTGAAAGTAAAAAAAAATATCAAACTTACAATTATTTCGGTGAACTGATTCAATTCTCTGTTCGCGATCTTTTTTCATTTGTTCCGGTTCGGTATCATCGACATACGCTTTTCCCTCCTTCAACATTCGCTCACAATATTCAAGCATTAAATCAAAATAATTTGATGTATGTGTGAATAAATCGGGTTTAATTTCAAGTAATTCCAAATCGCCCAAAATCACTTGCTCAAATTCAACTGTCTCTTTGGCCGGATTTGTGTCATCGAATCGCATGATTAATTTTCCCTTAAAAGCATTTGCATAGTGTTGATTGAGAAGTGCAGCTTTAGCGTGTCCAATATGCAAATAGCCCGATGCTTCCGGTGGAAATCTGACGATGACTTTGCCCATTTCAGCATTTGGTAGATCGACAAATTTTCCCTCTTGTTTGCGTTCACCTGTGGCTTGACGATTCGTCGCTGTTTCTGCAGCTGTTGACAATGCTTTTTTCGCTTCAGCTGGCAACGCAGCTTGGGCTTGTTTCACACACTCTTGTGCTCCGATCAGGTTGTACCACCTTTGTACATAAACTGGAATTCCAATTTTTTTTGCGGCCACCATTTGACGTGACAATTGCGAGAATACAGCCAAATCAGCGATCGTTAAATTATTTGTAACTAAATAGGTCAATGCACCCAAACATTTTTCGAGATAGGCTAATGATTTGGCCAAATCATTTCCGAGTGTTAACGAAAAGGCAAGCCATTGATCGATTTGTGTTTGCTCAACTGGATTCGAGCCATAGAGTTTGAATTTTCCGGCAACACGACCGATAAACCGCAAAATATCATTTTCCGAATTGTACACAAATTTCGGAGTATCACTGCCGAACGAAATCGTTGACTCCTTTCCCCATTCGACTGCAATTGGATTTGTTGCCTTCACCAATTCAATGGCAGCCAATCCACCTATGAAAGATGCAAATTGTTATTACTTTTGAATTTCACAATTTACATGAAGGTTGACGATGATGAAATACACATAACCTCAACGAATACAAAGGTCGTTGAACACCAATAAATGGGAAATGATGTAATTCTTACCAACTGCTGGATTGTTCACATTACAAGTTATTTTTTGTGACATTGTAATCACTTTTTTAACGATTTGATTTACGATAGTATGGTTTTTACACTGCAACACGTCGCCGTGCTAGGTTGTTAGAAAAACACACGTAAAATATTAGACGGAAAACATGCACTTTACATATAATGACTTATTTGTCAAATTTCATCTGTCAATGTCATATTTTCGCATGAGACGAACGTCGCGATGTCAAATTGGATCTAAATAAGAATTGTGTTGCCTGATTTGATCGAGTTTTTGCTGCACTAATAAAAAGTCTATGAAAATAAAAAAATAAAAAATCTTTGAAGCTGCATTTTAATATAAAAAATCTATTTTCAATTTTTCAGACAACAGTAAAAAAGAGATCAAGATAGTACTCCTTCTGATATATAAGAAAATATCATAAAAACCAGTGGTGTTACCCGATTAGAATTCAAATTTGATATGAAAAACTCCAATTTATTTAATTAAAATGCAATGAATTTTTGAAATTATCAACACAAATTGATACCTTGACAGAAGTAGTTATTTTTATGTGTCATGATGGCTAGTATGATGGTCATAAAAATGATGGTGATAATTGTGTGAAATGAAGTCGAATAATCTTCTGCGAATGCAATGCAATAATTTTGTTTGTCCAATGAAGTGAATCGTTCCCCATTCTTCCACGACCGAAATGATGTAATCAACTAAAATCCATGCTGATTTCGTCGAAATAGCCAATGCAACGGAATTCATGTGTTTTTGAACGAACGTGAGCAATGAGCGACCATCACAAATTCACCTCACCACGCACACTCACACTTTCCAAGGTGAATGAAAACACCAACGAAAATGTCAAATGTTTTGTAATAATATTTGCGTTGAACGCACGCATACATTTGCACAAAGAGCATTTAAGAAACTTACTGTACACATATAACTCTCATCTGGTTTGAGTAAAGAATATATAGAGAAAGACAAGTAGAGAAAGAAAAAAACCTATATAAATTTTTATAAATTCTTATTTTTTGTTCAATATTATTACGGATACATTTTACAAATTATTTGAAAACGACTGCAAAGTTTTCTTTTACCGAGTTGAATTGTGTAAATTGCATGCAAAATTATTTATTTATAATAAATTTATCCAGCAAAGAAATTTAAAGAATTCGCGTTTACAAAGGAACTGTGATAAGTTTTTGGGTTTTGCAAAGAAGCATAGGAGAGAAAGGCAAATTGAAATAAATTCATAAAAGGCGAGTGGCATCTCTAAACCAATCGGTTTTTTCATACGAATTATATACAAAATAGCCGTAAATCATGTCAAAATATTTAAATATGTAAGTGAAATGTATAGAAAATATTTTCAATTGTGTGGCTCAGATTAAAATGAAAGACGGAAAAAGACAGAAAAAAAACATCCAAATCGAACAGCATTTGTAGGTTATGTTCACACAATGTTGTTCCAATATCATTTTAAACTTCGCGATTTTTATGTGATGCTGCGATTCGATGGTGAAATCTTTTCGATTAATTTCATTTACATATTTGCCAAGAGAAATAAATTTCATTTACGATGCATTGTTGGTGTGAATGACCTAAATTAAGGTATCCATGCACAGACCAAAGCAATGACAGAAGTGAGAGCATACTTCAATTGACTTATGCATGGAAAGTGCATGTTGAATGAGACAATGAACTTTTACACAATTTTTTTTCGGGGGGATGGAATTTATTCAACATTTCATTATCATGTGACAGTAATTCTATGCACGTTTTAACTTTATTGAGTGAGTCATAAAAAACGTGGTTAAAAAAACAACAATTTCGTTTACATATTTTGTATGCCTCATTGATTTTCAATTGATTTGTAGATAAACTCATACCTTCATCAAAAGAATGATTTTTTTAAAATGAAAAATTTCATTTTATGAAAATCAATTGGTTTATTTATTTTAAAAAAAAATTCCAACTTTAGAATGAAGGCATACGGTGGGGAAAGTGATGAGAGTGATACAGAGGTAGCTGAAGTCGATATCGACAAATTGCCACCCATAGAAATTAGTCCGGACGAACACAAACTACAATACACATACTGTTTGTGGTATCATAGAGGCTCTTACAAAATCAAAAATCCATCGGTAAGTTTTATTCATTTCGTTTTAATATTCTCTTTGCAGCCCCATCATAAACAACTAAACATGAAGAATTCATTGGAAATTTTCGTTTTTTTTTTAATTTGTCTAGGATTATAGCAAATCATTGCATTTGATTGGTCGTTGTGCAACTGTTGAGCAATGGTGGGGCCTTTACTGTCGCTTAATACGTCCGTCAACATTGAAACCATATCGTGAATTGCACTTGTTCAAAAGTGGCATTAAGGCGATGTGGGAAGATCCACAGAATGCAAAGGGCGGCAAGTGGGTGATTCGTTTGCGTAAAAATAAAATTGATCGCGCTTTTGAAAATTTATGTATGGCAATGCTGGGTGAACAATTTCTCGTCGGTTCAGAAATTTGTGGTGTAGTTTTGTCGACACGTTTTCCGGTTAGTTCAAAAATTCCCCTTCTTGGCAAATGTGAAATTCAATTAAACATTTTAATTATCATTTTAAAACTTGCAGGAAGATCTGTTATCGGTGTGGAACCGTAGTGCCGCAGACACAAACTGCACGAATAGAAGTAAATATCTTTATTTTACATTTTTACCATTCAAATATGACATATTTATCGGTTTTAATTTTCACAGTTAGAGATACACTGAGGCGAATTCTCAATTTGAGCCCCAACACTCCTATGGAATACAAGAGCCATTGTGACAGTTTAAAATATTTAAAATCCGTGTCTTCATCGTCTCCATTGGCACCAACAACTGTGTCAACAACAAATTCATCTCCAGCCGGGAATGCAACAACAAGCACTATCAACAGTAATGCCTATAATCCACCAATCACACGAAACAATGGAATGGGCAACGGTGCAAATGGGGCGCCAACGTCGCGTTTCTTTTCAAGACCATTCACAACAACTTCGCACAGTTAACATAGCCGCTATTAATTTTCATTCATTGACCACTATGAAACACCGACAGCAATATCTACTACAATAAATGAAAAATAATGAGAAAAAAAAAACAAATTAACAACAACAACAGCAACTGAACGGAGTTTGGAATCTACAATTCGAATTGTCGATGGTTAACAGAGAGAGCAGTACATTTAAACGAAATAAATGGAGAATATCAACTAGAAACACCATTATTTTTTAATACTTAAACGTCCCCAGTGCGTACGTTTCTGGACAATATTCATTTCTACGTGGAAAAACTTGTATAAAAAATAAACATATAAAAATGAAAAAAAGCATATAAATCTTGTAAAACCTCAAATTCGGACGTTAATTATCATGTTGGTAAAATTCAGAATAAAAACCTTACTGTTTTTTTTTCTTACCAAAAAATTAAAAACCATTTCGTCTTTTTACTTATTGAACTTGATTGATGACATTTTTTAAATATATAAAATGTTGACACCTGTCAAATATGTTATTAGCGACTACACAAGTGCATGCGGTGCAATGCTTAAACGGTAATCAATTTTTTTTATTTGTTCTGTTGCTGCGGCTTGTTTTGTTGGATTCAATTTTTAATTTAGTATCGTTAATTAATTGGAAAAGTGAAAATCCATTGAAAAAATGCCGAACACTAGACGTGGTGAGGATAAAGAAAATGCTACATCATTCGAACAAAAAATAATGGCCCACGAAGCCAATGGCAAGCCGTAAGTGAAAAAAAAATCAATCACATTTGTTGGTATTTATGATATTCTCATGTTTTGTTCTGTTCAAATCACAATTTATCTCGTTTATATCATCTGATTTTCACTTTTACACAGTTACAAGTGGTCCAAAGATGATTTTGAACTAGGCTGTAAATTGGGCAAGGGCAATTATGGCCATGTGTATGTTGCACATGAACGAAAAACACATTTTGCGGTTGCAATGAAAATCATCTTTAAATCAGCGGTACTGAAAGATGATGAAAAGCAAATCTTACGTGAAATTGAAATTCAATCACGGTTGAAGTGAGATTTTTATTTGACATATACAAAGCATTTTAACCAAATTGACATGTTTTTTGATTTGATCTACAGACACCCAAACATTCTACGTATGTACACTTGGTTCCATGATGATCGTAAAATTTACTTGGCCTTGGAGTTGGCTTCGGAGGGAGACCTATATAAACATTTACTAAGTGCACCAAACGGTCGTTTTTCGGAGGAACGATCAGCTCGATACATCTATCAAGTAGCTAATGCATTGCACTATTGTCATTTAAATAATGTCATTCATCGGGATTTAAAGGTGAAACAAATTCTTGATATCATTGATCCATTCAATTACATTGAAACCGTTGAATTTCTCTTTAAAGCCGGAAAATATTATGCTAACCGTTGGCGATCAAATTAAGTTGGCCGATTTTGGGTTATCAGTACATACAACGTCAAACAAACGCAGAACCATTTGCGGAACAGTTGACTATTTTCCACCTGAAATGTAAGCAATTTTCATTATTTTTCAACTTGTTTGGTCGGTGCAACAATTTACATACTACTTGAAATGTCATTTTTCTTCAGGGTATATGGTGGTTCTTATACCGATGCAGTGGATCAATGGTCTTTGGGCGTTGTGTGCTATGTTTTGTTGGTCGGTAAACCACCATTTGAATCGTCGGATTACAAGAAGACGTACGCGAAAATTCGACGATTGAAAATCGAATATCCAAGCTATTTGTCAGTCGGAGCCAAGGATCTTATTTCGGTGGTAAATTTTGAAACTGATTAAAATCGACAATTTAATGCGATGAAATGTTTACACTAAAAAGATTTTCATTGTTCTTTTTCAGCTGTTGAAATTGAATTACCGTGACCGACCAAGTTTGCCTGATGTCATGACACATCCATGGATTAAGTCGTTTAAACGCTGAACCACTGATCCCAAATTCCATAAATATTTTTCTAAATTAAATTCAGTCAAAGGGGTAGACACAAACTAGAAAACTTTAAAAAAAACTAAGAAAAATTAGGGCTGATTAGGTGATATGTACAGGTACACGTTATATGCATATCGCATGCGATTAACTAAAAAATAGGAAAAATTAGTAATATTAGAGCCCTTGTCTCCCCCTAGAATTCAGTTCATCTAAGCTATTATTAAGTTGGTCCATTATTATAATACCTTTTAGTATATAGCCGAGTAGTGATTTGAGCAAGATTTGAGGGAGGTTTTGTTGCGATAATTACAGTTTGTTTATCACAACGTGTTTCAATAAATGACAAAAAAGAAACAAAGTAAAAAAATATAAACCTGGATATCGATTGAGGCTTCTCAATGCGAGATTCTGCAATAATTCTGGATTTGAGTTGGACGTAAATTTTGTTCGTGCTCTTAATATAACAATACATTGATTCGGAGCGAGGCACTCGGGTAAAAATTATTCGACTGGTTTTAAATAAAATAGTTTTCATGGGGTAGAGATTTATATTAGCGGATGAAAGGAGATGAAAAGCAATTAACGAAAAATACACAGATACATCTTCCTTCATTTCGTTGCTCTGTGCTTCTCTATACTCAAAACGCGTAGAAAAATGATTTTTAGCGATTTCAAAATTTTGTAGTGATTGCAATACTTTACTGTACACAGTAGTGTGTGGAAAAGTAATACTGCACACAATGGGTGTGCGGAAAATTAAAATTTTAATTTGTAAACGAATTACAGAAAAGAATGACAAAGTGCAAGAGAAACAGGTATAAACCCATCTATTTGCATTGGTTTAACAAATCGAAAATCATGAAGTTTAGACAATTGTAAATGGCACAGTCTATTTGCCCGTGACGGTTTTTCGGCTACGAGCGTTGAGCAAAAATTTGCTAAACGCCCGTCCAAATCGACGGATGAAACTTTACGGGCGTTTAGCAAATTTTTGTTCAACGCCCGAAGCCGAAAAACCGCCACGGGCCCTTTTTTCACGGGCAAATAGACTGTGCCATTGTAAATGCATATCAATAAGAGCTAAGTAACGTTTAAAGAATGAATTATAATACAAATATAAATTAATTAAATAAAGCTTATGTTTCATAAAAGATTGAATATATTTGTATCATAATTTCTTCAATACTGTCGACTTACTGTGTTTGTTTTTAATTCGTTTTTACTGTGTTTGTTTTTAATTCGCTAAGCATAGCACACCAATAAATACGCAAATTAATTTCAGCGTTAAAACATTTTCTTTCAATTGCAATTGCACAAAATTTATTATGCAAAGAAAAAAACCAACAATATATTAGAAAAAATTTTAAACCGTGACACCTTAATTTTCAAATCAAGTACGTAACAAATGATGAAACCTATCAAACTTGTACAAAATCAAAACAAAAAATAAAATTAATGAGAATCAAAAATGATTCACATTTCTATTCAAATTTGATGAATTGATAGAAATAGGCACGAAGAATCGAGATTCGTAGTTGACATAATCACACCTACCAAAAAAAAAATGAGAAAAACACATAGTTATAGGAACAAATATTTAGTAGAATTAAAATTTAAAAAATAAATGAAGAAATAAATGGTTTAGCACTGAATGATTAGCTGAACTGATTGCGTCACATTTATAAATTCAAAGAATTCAATAGAACGGTCAATATTTGAAATTGAAAAATCAATTGATGGCATAAAACATACATAGTTTCGTTTTTTTTCTAGCAACACAAAAAAAATTATTCTAATCTTCTTGCAATGTTCTAACATTTTTTCCGCACTTTAAAAAAAAAAATCAACTATACAAAACGAAATAAAAACTAATTAACAAGAAAATAGAAGTAAATAAAAAAATTGCAAGAAATCTATGGAAAAAGGCGAAATATTAAAAAAAAAACTATGTACATATGAAAGACTAACTAGAAAAAAAAGAACAAAAACACACACAGATAGAAGATAGAGAAATATTCCTTCAGATTGTCTGAATGGAAGCGAGCTAACAAGAATCAATCAGAAATTAAAAAAAAAAAAAAAAAAAAATAAAGAGTCTTACGGGAGTAAGACGAACTTTTCCGCAGGGTAGTAGTTGTGTATTTTATTAAGCTAGTTCAAAATAATATATGTTCGATTTTTCAAGCCTTTCAAGCGGCGTAAAGTCCTAGACCAAAAAATATGTTCAAACCTTGGCATCGAAATATTCTTTAATTTAATAGCAGAAGTACTAGCAAAAGATTTTTCACACTTTCATGATGAACCCATTAGAACGACATTTGAAAGTATTCCATTTTCTAACATAACACTATAAAAAATATGTCTGACGTTAATTTTGCCATAAAAATTATTTTTGAAACACTTTTCATAACTAAAGTCACGAAAAATTTGGATTTTTGTATGGGATTTTCCATGTCTGTGTGCTACCTTAATGGCGTGAAACTTTGCTCAGGTTATTTTTTTCACACAAAAATAACATTTGGGGAGGTTTGGAGAAAGTCAGATTTTGAATAAAGTTTCTATGATGAGCGCAATCTTGCTAACAAATTTTGCGTACTACGTACAACGTACAACGTACAACGTACGACGTACGATGTACAGATTAACAAAAACTATGTTTAAAAACGCCAAATTCGCGTTCTCTGACCTCAATAATAGGTAGAAAACATGTTTCTAAAGTTTTAAAAATTTTGACCGATTACAATACTTTTCACCTTACACTATGTGTGCGGAAAAGTAACACACACAAACAAACGAAATAATGACGAATGAGCAGTTCAATAAAATTAAATCAATCAAAATCAATCGTTTCTTTTTTCTATGAAAGTTTTCAGTTTTTTTTTATCATCGCTTCCTGCGATATGTGCCCTCTTTCATTGCACCTTTTGATTTGATTTTTCAGAAGGGCGAACGGTGATTGCTGAGTCAGTGCTGCAGATGTAACGGAATTAAAACCAAATGTATATGAATTTGCTATAATAATGAGTGGAAAAACGCATCTGTTCACATACACATAAACACATACAGCCAGAGACAAGAGTGAGAGAGATTTAATACGTCACAATCTCGTCGTATTGTGCTTATGTCGATAGAACTATTTGATGCGGACATATTCGCAAGCGGCCAGCCATCATATATCCAACAGAATGTGTCGAAGTGAAATGCACGGCAACAGCCGTTCCGCTGCGTAACGTTTGTGTGCGCAGTCAGGCATTCACTTGCCTTACATTTCAACCATTCCATCGTGTTGAATTGAATATGTTGAACAGAACGAGAATACGATGGACGTGGATGAAAAAGGGAGCCGAAACGTGAGACTTGTGTGTCTGTGTGTATGTAGGTAGATATATGTTTCAATACATAATAATTCAATTGATGTGCATGTTCGGTGTTCGGTGTGTTGTGCCTATGCCAATGTAATATATACGTACACAACGCACGCAAACAACTGGCAAAATAGAAGTATATAGGAAAGCGAATGAGAATTCGAGAGAACGAATGGCCCGACAACGAATGATATAACGAAAACACAACTGTATTCAACAGAATACACGTTAACATATTGCAATATCTGCCATTCTTGGCATTCCACACATATTCGATGAAATAGTTTTACGATTGTACGCAACAGAAGCAGTTTGTTTTCGTTTCTCTGTCGTTCGTTTAGTACTCAGCAGAACAGCAGCTAGCCGCAACATACATCCTAAATAATAGTAGACGATTGTTGATAATTCGGGTTGAACAAAAAAAAAATTATTTTTTTTCCTCTTTTCATTACTATTTTATTTTAATTTTACAAACATCATCAACGCCAACATTTTATTTGTAGAAAAAAAAGAAAATATCTCGAATTTTTACGAATCTCTGGAAAGTGAATGAAAGTGTGACTAATCAAAGAGATTTTAAATAGCGATTTAAATTTTTTTTTTTTAAAGCCGAAAAAGAGACTGACTTCTGTTGCAAGTTGCACAATAAATCTTATAATTAAAAATATTGCAAGTGCAATTTATTCTTAGACGAAATATCTCCATGTTAAAATGGCATTTTGTCGTCATTTTAACATGCGGCTTTTTTTTCACATGTTAAAATGCCGTTTTACCCGCAAAGAAATGTGTTGCGGGTAAAATAATATTTTACCATGTGAAAAGTAAACCTCATGTTAAAATGGCATTTTGCTCTGATTACTTTGAATTTTAACATCTGAGTTTTCTCAGAGTATATATAGGTAGATTCGTGCCCGTCTGAAAAAATGCCTAATCGCGTCTGAATCATCAACACACTAATCACCTGAAGTCGCATGGATAATTTCTCATTTCTTATCGATTTAACAAACAACGTCTAAATTTATGCAATGATTCAGGCTATTTGTAGAATCTATATGACCAAAATATGATAAGACCTTATCATCGTAGTAAAACAGACCGCTGTGAAAACGAAAATTATCTTTAAAAAAATGAGTTCACGATAAGAGACGCAGCGTGTATTTTTCAGATGGTGCCCCTGATTCGTCAACATCGCGTAGATCATGTAATATATAAATATATAATGCAAATAGTACGGTATATATGAAAGGCATAATATCCAAGCAGCGTTGATATATCTCGGTTATTTTTTCCTCTCGTGTGTGTATATAAACGTTGTCGATTCATCATCATGCTCATGGATATAACGAATCGCTGGCACGCTCATACCTACATATTCGAAATAGTAAATACAGTACAAACTCGATGCATGCAATCGAACCGAAAATATCGTTGGCTGGATAGATACAATTCAGCTCTATCACCCTTGGTTTTCGTGCGCAAAATATGTTTTCTATTGTGTATGTATTGTTGTTGTTCAGCAGCGTATATAACGTCGGCAAAATTGAAAAAAAAAACAAACCAACCGATGTTTTGTATATATGCATTTTATAAAATTCTATTGAGCATAGTACCGTCACCATGCTCGCTCTATTCTTTATATGTGAACACATTTAGTTGCAATCACAAAACATATCATCCGATTCACCGACATGTTTCGGTTTGAATACTTGCTCTTGGGTACTGCAGAAGCATTTTATTCGTTTCATTCTCTTTGCTGGTTCTTCTTCTTCTTTTTCTTCTTATTCATAGTCGTTTCTTTTCTTGTCTTTTCTCTTTTGTGTTGCAACACTGTGTTGAAACACTTTTGTGCCTGCTCATTTTCTTTGGTCATCTGATCCGTAAACATCTAGTAGTTTTTAAAAACTGATTTTTTTTTTAAATTTACATTTTGTTGATAGCCTTTTTCTATTTAAAGTGTTCTTTCATACATTGGTAAGTATGTAACTACAAAAAAGTAAATCGGTATAGAGGTGCATTATTAAAGTAGCAATGACATTTTTAAAATTTACAATCGAATGTAAAAATAATTTATGTTTGCTTGTTGCATCTAATGGTATTTTATTTCAATTTTTCGAAAAGGAAAATAAAATGAACGATTTTGAAAACGCTACTCTCGATGATGATGACGATGCTAACGAAGTGGTAATGAAATGGAGACATGATTGGAAACAATTATTCTCTAGGGGTGAAATTGCAAATAAAACAATTCAAATAGCTCCAATGAGATACTACGCACCATGTCGCAGACAACATTATTTCGTAAGTTAAGTACATCGAAACTAGCTACTCGAAATAACAATTGATATATTTATTTTATTTTCAGTATGACATTTTCGTCCTCAGGCAGTATGGAGAAGTTGAATCAGCAAACATTCAATTTGAAAACGATGCCATTATATGTGGTCTTGTTCAGTATAGAGATTCCAAAATAGCTTCTAATTTGGTTGACCGAGGTCAAATTTTTATTCGGAACATTGAATATAAAGTAAAACCAATGAATGCTCTGTACACAAGTGTTGGTATGATTGAATGTTTAGAAAAATTAAAATTGAACGAGCTGAAATCTGAACCATTTACACAGGACACTCAAAATAATATAATTACTGTTCTGAATGATGATTGTTTGCGCGAAACATTCAGAAAATTTGACAAATTGAGTGATTTCCATTCTATTGCAAATGTTTGCAAACAATTTAATAGAATCGCAAAGGAAGTATTCTCTTCTGAAATAAAGTATGAAACGGTATGTTTTCTAAATATAATGCATCCGGGATATGAAGTTACTTTGTTTCAAATTGTCAATTTTTTGAGTAATTTCGGTAGCTCAATTTTTCATATAGAGATCACAGATGATTTGTTCGAAAAAATACCGGACGCCTCAAATTCTCTTTTCAAATTGATCTTCAAGCACTGCAAAAATCTTCGGAAACTCAATTTATTTAGCCAAAGTATCAGAAAAGAGTGTTTGCTTGACATTTTTCCAATTCTTTCGCAATTGGAATGTTTAGAAGTCGATTTATCGTGCCAATCAGATATGGATCTATTAAATGATATTTGGATTTATTGCACTCAGTTGAAATTTTTGCGCATAAGTGGTTATCATTGCCCTCAATATAATTTACCTGCGATCAATTTCCCAAAGTTGATCAAATTTCGCGTATACATACGGAATATATCTTGTCAAGAATTTTTAGAACGTAATCCTCAAATAGAAGATTTAATTATTCCATATTCATCTAAATTAGCTGAACTAATAGTTAAAAAACTACCAAACATTCGGAAATTGAGTTTGCGTGTTGATGAAAATGTGTTTACTGAAATAGATTGTGTCTACCTAAGGCGTCTTGAACATGTATATCTTCACATGGTTTTCCACATAAATGACTCACTAATGAATTTGTTTGCATTTCCGATGAAAAATATCACAACCCTTGCTCTTCATGCACCTGCCAACTTTGACCAAAATCTTTTAATTGAATTGACGAAAAATTTGCATGGTCTAGAAAAATTAACCATCCGATCAGACGAGTATGAATACGTGGAGCCCACAAATAACATAACAACGGCCACGCTTAAGGAAATGTTGCATTTCGCTAATCAGTTGTCAGAATTATCCATATTTTGCACGAACAACTTTATTTATTATTTCGATGAGAGCGACTATTATAATATATTAGAAAATATTAAAAAACGAATCAATCACATCAATCTAAAAGTTAATATTCAATGTAATGCAACACAAATAGTGTATAGCGCATTGGACTCGTCAGCTTCTATTAATAGATTAAAAGTAATCGATTTTAATATGGATCCAAAATGGTTGTCTGTTTCAGTACTCTATAAATACGATTGAATAGGCAATTGCTGAACAGGGGAGAATCTGAAAAACACATACACGGATGAATTGCATAATTTTTCCCAAGATTTCATCTAAGGCGTAAAAAATTTATCCGTTTAACTATCACATAAATATCTGAAAATTATACTTTTATTTCATCGATATTCCATCAGAACGTTTAACAAATCGAAAATCATGAAGTTTAGACAATTGTAAATGGCACAGTCTATTTGCCCGTGACGGTTTTTCGGCTACGAGCGTTGAGCAAAAATTTGCTAAACGCCCGTCCAAATCGACGGATGAAACTTTACGGGCGTTTAGCAAATTTTTGTTCAACACCCGAAGCCGAAAAACCGCCACGGGCCCTTTTTTCACGGGCAAATAGACTGTGCCATTGTAAATGCATATCAATAAGAGCTAAGTAACGTTTAAAGAATGAATTATAATACAAATATAAATTAATTAAATAAAGCTTATGTTTTATGAAAGATTGAATATATTTGTATCATAATTTCTTCAATACTGTCGACTCTTTGAAACAGAGATTATATATATGTACATTTTATTAATTATGATGAGTTCTAAAAAAACGATCTGCGTGAAAATGAACAGCCAACCGAACAACTGAAGATCTTCTCTTTCTTGAAGAAATTTTCCTTCTTTCAACAAGAAAAGAGGAGAATGGATACATAAAAAATGGCTGTCGTTGCACGAAGAGATGAGACATCAATAATAAAGCATTCGTTAAGTGAATTTCGTGCTGTTTTGTGATTTGATCACGTGCAGAACAGTGATATCACATCAATGCAAGCCATATTAAATTCACAGTAAAACAAGCTTCAAAGATGGAATAAAGCATAAAAAAGCATCTATACGCACGTAGAGACAGAACAGTACAGGCTATAACTATTGGATACAGTGACGCTTTCGAATGCACATCATGCATATTAAATACAATTGCCAAAAATTTTCCTTCTTTCAACAAGAAAAGAGGAGAAGTAGCAGCAGCTGTAATTTGTTAGGGAATAAGGCAAAATCTATTCAATAGGATTTTATTTCAACTATTATCATTTCTTGTAAATTTGAATTTGCCTTGTGACCTCAAGTCCTCGTTTTATTTTCTTTTCTTTTTTTTCAAATTTAGCTTTTGCTAGGGGACGGACACAAAATCTAATAAAATCTAGTTTCATAGTTTACTGCTAATTTTGCTACTATTTTTCTAATATTAATAAAAAATCTACTATTATAACTATACAGATATACTAATATTGCTAATATTGCTAGTTTATTAGTACAAACGTCAAACGTCAAATAGCTGATCTCAAAGTGAAATCATGAATGAATTTTTCATAAATTTTTAGATGAAGATTTAACATTTTTTTATTTTTCCAGGTTTAAAAAAATAAAATTTATTTCTATTAAATACTAAAACACTTAACGTAACAAAAAAAATTTTCGGTAAGCAAAGTGCGCGCAATTCTCTAACAAGCAATGATGAAGCAAAGCAAACTAATTTTTGCTAATATTTTGGTAATATTCCGCTAATATTCTAATATTTATAATGGTGTCCGTCCCCTAGAGCTTTTGTCTTTCATTTGCGAATTTATTGTCATCGCATTTAAACGCAACTAATAGATTTTCCCAAAATTTTCATGGAGTCAAAAAAAATATGACGTTTTATATATCTTTGGAAAGGTATTTAAGAGTAGAATCCGATTAGGTATGAAAAATTCCAAAAATATATCTGTGAAGTGGCATGAAACGGCAAAAAAGGGGAATTTCATACATGTCTCCATTCAAAGGTCACCTGGACAACCTAAATATTATTTTAAAATTCCAAAAACACCTTTATAGGATAGATATGATCATTTTGCATCGGTTATGCATATAGCCGATATGATTCTGAAAAATTCACAAAAAATGAAGCACCCTACTGTCCATGTATTGCATGTTTTAGGTTGTTCAAGAATCCACACATCGTCACTTCTTACTTTGAATGTTCGAGAGCAAGGGGGAAAATTGATAAATCATTTCAATGCCAGTAATACGATCTAGTACAAAAAAATATCAAGCAAAATATCAATAATACCGAAAAATATCAAGCTATATTAAAAAATACGATGCAGTACTGAACATTAATTTCGATCTATCACAACTAGATAAAAGTACGTATATTTCACTTCGTCTACAGTATGAATCGATGTAAATTGCCGACAAAATAAGTTTGTGAAAATAAAGGTTGCGCTAATGAGCAATTAAGGGCAGGAGAGCTACCCACCATGTCAAAATTTCATCGGATCAAAAAATAATGTACGAGAGGACCACTGCCCACTGATGCGTTTAGGACCACTGCCCACCAAGTGCCCCCACCTCCCAGGGGGTCCGGGGTCATAACCCTCAAGGTATGATTTTTACGACCCAAAAAACCCTAGAATTGATATTTGTCTCGTGCCCTCTTGCTTTCGTGCTGGAATTCAATCGTGCGCCTAGCAATTGCTATTAATTGCAAAATAAAAACAAATTACTTTTTCATTTCAAAATTGTAGTTTTTTTTTATTTTCAAATATTTTCTCTTCATTGTGGTTAATGGTCAGTGATTATGAAATAATGGAATAAATTTAAATCATAAAAAAGACAGACGGATAAAGAATACTTTTGCGGAATAAATAATGATATTTTAAATAATAAAACAAAACTTAAATTTAAGTACATTGATTGCCGAAATGATTTTGTTGTGAAAATATCTGTTTTCATTGCTTTGACCTGCACAAATAAAAAAAATTCCTTTATTCGTGATGTAATTAAATATTGTGTTTGTTTGATTTTCTTCCGTTTTTTTTTTTTGAAGCTAATAATAAAATCTACTATTGAATTAAAATTTTGTCGTTTAAATTTTCTCTGTGTATGACCTAAGGTCACTCGCATGCGGATGTGTCATGTTTTTTTTTATTTTTTTTTCTATTTTATTACGTAAATCTTATGCGATACAGCTAGCTGCCTAATATCAAACTGCTTTTGAACTCGAACAAAAATTGCCACATAAAATTTATTCAGTCGACAATGTTTATTCGAAAATCAAATGCAAAAAAGAAAAAATCTTCCATGTAGATAAATCTCGTAAGCATTAAAATATTGCCACAAAGCGGACGACAAGAAATTAATATCATCCGAAGAAAAATGTTCTCAGTTTTATGCATAATTGTGCGATTATCGTTTTACTGTTCAATAAACGTCACCTAAATTATCAATTTGAAATAATATAACAATACACCATAGAATTTCTTTGTTTCTCTCTTTTTGTGTGTAAATAATTCATATATATCTTTATATCAGGGATTGTTCCTCTCCTCTGAACGGCTGCAAGAGAGCGCTGAGAAGGATCCTCCTCCTCAAGTTAGGAGGAAAACATTTTTTGATCAAAAGCTGTTTTCATCACAAAAATATCTTTTTTTGGTTAAAAACATTTTTCTTCTGACTTGAGGAGGAGGATCCTCCTCAGCGCTCTCGTCCTCCTCGTTTTCCTTCTCGCCGTTCCTCTTCCTCAGAGGAGCAATCCCCACTTTATACAACTGTCTAGAACAAAAAAAAACAGAAACTATTCACTGCAAATAAATCATAAACTCAATTTGTTTTTAGTCTTTTCCGCCGAAATATACAGATTTCATATGGAATAATTCGAGCATTTTTTATCCTTAATTAAACGACATCTATGTGTATTTTTTCTTGTTTCAGAATAAAAAAATTAACTCCATTTATAAAACTGGATTTATTCAATTTAATCGTCGTATTTTTTTAAGTTTTGTTTATTTTTTTCTTTAAATTGATTTTTTTTTTCTTTTTCTCTAATTGCAAATCTTATTGCTACATTGTAATACATAAGTTGCACATTTTAATCATTCATTATTTCACTTGCTTTCTTTATAATTTATTAAGTATTTCACAGTTGCTGTTGTTGTAGTTTATGTGACACGACCACAATTCATAGTCGCATTTCACTTGTATCGATATCTGACTCGATGGAATGAATCGAATCACTTTTTAGCTTTTTTAAACTATAGTCGCCACGGGACTTGCATGCCGTCAGCTGTTCATATTTTCCCATCACATTTGCAATCACAAAGATAAGAAAGAAAATATATGTCAATTTATTGCACAAATTGAAACAATAAATATACATTTTATATAGGAAATAATGATAATGAAGCGAAAATGAAAATGCACAAATGCAATACCTGTGTTATTAATGTTAAAACAGTGACTGTGTTTTTTGGTTGAAAATTGAAAAATAATATAAAAATGAGGGAGAAAAAGCACCCAAAAATGTTACATAATTTAAAATTATAAAATTATTCTAAATGCCCTATTTCCTAGTGTCCAATTGTAACTGTTGTCCGATTGTTTGGAACAAATGATGGGATCCGATTGAAATTGTACACGACTACAATTGGGCGTCTAGAAAATAGGCAGAGCACCATAAAGCAAAGAAATACAGCAACACCACTTAAAATCTAAATATTTCTTTAGTAAATACAAAGGTCAGCAAAGGAGCACATCAGAGAATCGAAAGAGTATTCAATCATTTACTTTCTATAAATATTTAGTATCTTTTCTCTATTTAAAATTCACAACACACAAAAAAATCATTTTAACGTGATGATAAAAATATCATTTTTATAATAGAATTATTTCAGGCATTAAAAAAATCTTATTCACATTTAGCATGAAAATCAATGGAAAATTGGAAATTCATAATGAAAAATAAAATAATTTCATTCAAAATTATATCAATACATTCGAACGTCAGGCGTTATGAGAACAAAAATAAAATAAAATTTTAAGCCAAATAAAATCAAATTCGACGACAATAAAAACATTTTGATTGTTGGAAAAATGTCTAAGTTTTGTAATAAATTGAACAACATTGTCGAGAAAAATGCAAATAGTCATGCAAAAAGGAGGAAATATCTTAAAATGAGAGGACAGACACCTGTAGTTAGACAGTAGCTGGTAGTAACGCGCAGCATTTCAAGCGATACTATTTTAACAAATGAACGATGTTTCTATCTGAATGTTTTTTTTTCGTTTTGAGATCATAAAACTGTGTATGATATGAAATGTTATTGAATGGTATGGAGCTGTTCGAGTATTGTTGTCGTATGTGTATCAAAATTTATCGAGAAAATCTCTAGCCAATCCATTTCCATTGTTCTGTATCAGGACTTGTTATCGGTGTTGCAAACTATAATAAGAAATTAGTTGGAAAAATGATATTTTTGTTCTCTATACCCAAAATTTCGATTGAAACGCCCAAATGCACAAATACTATTTTATTCGCTTTTCATTTGATTCAACATCTTTCACACACTTAATGTTGTTGGTGTTAGAATGATAGGATATGATTAGAGTGCAACAGTGTTTAGTTAATACAAATGTCATATTTACATCTGTGTTTGACTTTGTTTTGGGTTAGCGCTTACAAGTGTATGTATGTGTGTGTGTTTGTGTGTGTGTGTGTGAATGTGAAAAGCATATAAAAGTCATTAGTATCATTTGATGATGTGTAAGAGCGTGTAAAAGTAGTTAGGCATTTCATTTGAATATACCTCTGCTTTTAAGTCGGCCACTTTGTCCTGCAAATCTCTAACTTTATCGGATTCATCGATATTTGATCGTAATTCACCTTCGGCCAACAACTCGGAATTCTAAACATATATTCAATTACGAGACGGTTTATTTAAAATTGTTCGAAATATTGATGAGTTTCGTTTTCGATTGAGCGGTACCTTTGTCTCCAAGCGTGATATTTCCTGTTTTAACTCAGCCACCGTTTGACTTTGTTCGGTAAATTTAATCTTAACATTCATCAATTCATCTTTCATGCGTGACTCCAAGTCGGAATATCTGCAAAGTTCATAAATATGTTCATTATTGCATCAAATACAAACAAATTCACTTCTATGCCATTGAAACAATAACAAACCTGTGCTGCTGTTCACGTGCTTTATTGCCCATTTCCTTCTCACGGGCCAATGATGTATCGAGCTCTTCGCGCAATTTTTTATTTTCCTCATCTTGGCGCCGAAGTTGATTGGTTGATACCTGCACTTGAGTCTCCAGTTCCATCACTTTCAAACGAAGCTCTTTCAATTCAGTCAATGTTTCCATCTCACGTATTCGTGTTGTCATCAATTCTTCTTCGACTTTTTGCAATTCGTTTGACTTGGAATTATCCCAGAACATCAATTTCTTTGATGTTGAATCGGAGGTATTTTCGTTTTTTTTGTTCCTGTTCAAATCATTTTTTTGATTAATTCCGTATTACGAACAATGCTTGTGCATTTGATTCACAATTATTAATATTATTATTGCATTGAAGAAAACGTGTATTAATCAAACAAAGCGCTCACCTGCAATTGACGTTGCCATTGTGTACTTAACTCTTGAACCCGTTGCTTGAGGTCTTTTAGCGAAAGGCTTGCTTCAGCTTCTCTCAATTTACTTGCAATCAATTCATCTTGTAGATGTGCCACCGAATTATCGGGCGTTGTTTCCCGAAGTGTTTTCTTATCTTCTTCGAGCTCTTCGATTTTCGTTTTTAAACTGCGAATGGTGTCTTCGCCTTCGGCAACACTTTGTCGCACTTTAACCAATTCTTCAAGCAAACAACTTACCATTTCATCACGTTCTTTCAATGCCTCTTCTTTCAAGCAAAGCTCGTCAATTGAATTTTGTCGCGAATTATTCTATAAAATGAGTTTGGATTAATCGGATGAGTTTAGGCATTCAATGAATTGAATTTGTTAATGATGAACATAGTTTCAACGCAAAAATAAAAAAATTGTGAGAAAATGTCTCACTTTAAATAAAAAGAAAGCTGTACCAAAATGTTCATGCAATGCAACGACGTTGCGTCAAATCAAAATCGGAACTTAAGAATATAAGAACGTCAAGCCCAAAAATACAAAAAATACATAAAGAGCAAAAATATTCGCGCTTTGCAGCGCATAGAAAATGAAACGAGCACACAACACACAATTAACAAGCAGATAAAATGCACTGAACCTGTGTAGATTGACTTACAGCTTCTATTGAATTATCTTGTTGCTGCACGGTTTGAAAGAAGAGAGATTTAGACAAAATTTAAATCGCATTAATTACAATCACTTTTGGTTTTGGTGGACAAATATTGAATGACATATATGCAACGGAGTAAACGAAACTAACATACAATGTCTAAACTTACGTTTTCCTGTAGTCGAAGACTAAGCCCGCGAATCTCTTCGTTGGCAGTTTCTAATTGATGCGAGATTTCCAAATGAGATTTTCGAAGTGCCAACAATTCCGATTCAATAGCGAATGCTGTTTCTTCCTCTTCGGCACGTGACACTTGACCACGAACTAAACGATGAGCCAATTCCGTGCTCTCCGCTTCGAGTAACTCATTTTGTTTTTTCAACAAACGATTTTCATTTCGAAGACGCTGTCAACGTTAAATTGGATTATTATATGAAAAAAAAATTTTGAATTGGAAATGTCAGTTGCAATGTCATTTATTTACGTACTCTTAGTTCTCCCATTTCTTCTTGTTCCTTCTTGCGAACGGCGGCGTATTCTTTTTCCCATTTTTTCATTTGTTTCGTATTGATTTTCATGGAAAAGGCTAAATTGAACAAATTCTCTGGGTCTCGTTCAACTATCTCGGGAAGATCTTTTTGGAAGTACTGCAAAAAAAGAAAGTTAAAACTGAGTTTTAATATGTGACAAATGGTCATTTACCTTCAACATAGCTTCCATATCAAGAGAAAGTAGTGATTCTTTGCCGATGGCCAACATTGCCAATGCCATTTTAAAAATGAATTCCATGCCTTCGCTAAGAAAAATGTCCATAACTCGACAGCTTAATTGAAGATTCAGCGATGTTGTATACAATGTTAAAAACCATCGTGATGCATACATTGACGTTTGAAATGTTTGCGATTGGAAGTGAAGGTGCAAATCGGGAAATTGCTCTTGTACTAAATTCTCCAATTGATACATACAAACACCGAGCTCGGCCATTGACGGTTTGAACATGTCACGCATTCGATGTTGTTGCATGATTTGAACCAAAACAGCGAACGCTTCTTCTTCGGGCATCTAATCAATAAAGAAAATATTGTAATTGAATCAATCATAAACATATTTGATTGTGACAAACCTGCATTAAAAGTAGCCCAACAATAAATCCCGATCCTTGGCAGTAGCCAACTTCACGGTCGTGCAGTGAATAGGCTTTCATAACATTAAAAAGTGCTTCTTGTCCCAAACCGTCTTTCTCTTTGAAGAAATCATGCTCTGGATATGTGCGTGCGATATCTCGTCGAATCACCTTTTCACAGGCAGATGTTGCTTTAATATAATCCGCATACTGTTTCTTATCAGCATCGGATGCTCCGCAAAGTAGTTGCCATACAATGGCACGAAAATAATGCGGGATGCCACGACGAACTAATTCTTTAACCGATGGAGTTTTGCGCTTCGATGCCGCTTCCCAATCGTTTACAATACCCGCCCATATCGAACAGATGTCTTCTTCTACTGAAATACCTGCAAATAAAATTCGTTGTTTATTCACTATATTTGTATTTGTTGTTGTTGTAATAAAATACTTGCCCGAATTTAAACTAATTTGGCTTGTGTCGGAACTTTTGCGGCTGTGTGCCGAACTTTGTAATGAATTTAAACTTTTGGCATCACTTTCGATTAATTTATTTGCCGCCTCCAATTTGGCGAGAAGACTTTGTTCTGATGTTGGCAATGCATCAACTAGCGGTGCCGCTACTGAGCTCGAAGTGCTATCCATTAAACGAATCGTCGAATTATTATCACTATTGGCCGATACAGTCAAAGTCATTGCTTGTTCAAGCTCCTGACGCGATAAGACGGTGTTGCGAATGAAAAAGAAAACGAACAAATTCGATCAACAATTTGTGTTGAAACATTTATATAATGTAATTGGCATTTTAATGAAAACAATAATAATTTTATATATCACGAAATTTCTTTGCTATGGGAATCAAACAAGGCCTTTTTCACTCATTTTGATAATTATTATGAATCGTTTGCACTGGGGCGCAACTAAACACACACACACATGTATGAAATGTATATTGCTTTATATTAGGCTCTAGGCATTTAATAAGTGCGCATCTACAATTTACTGACAAAGAGACTTGTTTATCCTGTTCAGTTACGACGACGAATAAACCGTTTGCTGCTATCTAATTATTTTATTCAGTGACTTAGAATACGCGATGGTGATAACATAAACACAATTTTCACTAAAAAAACGACGTTCTCTTCATTTCTAAAGTCACATTTATTCGCAAAGTAAATATTTATTTGGAAGAAGAAAATTGCGAGAACAACGACTGAAAAAAAACACAGTGCCCAATTCATCGAATCGTTGTTGATATGGAATTGTTAGCGTTCATGTGCGAAGAGACACACTTATGCGAAATTAGTTCACAGTTTTTATTGAAATCGATATAATACTTTTTTTGTGTGTGTATTGCCTGTTTATACAGTCAAATAACGGTATTTCATTGATGACGGGAATCAGGTTGATTTGCGATCGACGAAAGAAAAACAAAAGTCTTACACAAACTGTCGATGGTAAACATTTTTTTTTGCGGAGTAAAAAAAAAATCTGTCATATGCGTTAGCGGGTCGCTTCAGTGATTTTATTACGTTGAGGTCTAAGACCATTCGATCCGAAGCGAAAGACCAATAAATTTTCTTTGCACGCGTAATTTTTCGTTTTTTTTCGCCAGTTGCATCGAATTAAAATCATTTTAAGAAATTACATGATTGAAAAATTAAATTCGTGCAGTACGTTCAACCTTAACGTCATCCACATACACACACATACGTCAAAACTATCTCCAATTTGAAAATTGAATGAGAGAGTCGTACGTTGCCCTTGATTTAAGGAATAATTACGGCATTGGTACACGCAGTGTCGAAACGCAAAACAATTAACAATGAAGGTGTACACCCGACTAGAAGAGGCCAAGAAAATCGAAACACTTTTACACACGCCTTTCTTATACACACGCCAACTGACAGTGTAAATACATTGAACGATGATGATATTTCCCAATGAAATATTATGTCACGAAGAGTCATCATCATCATCATTGTCAATGACAATTCTATATTCCAAAGACAGTTGTTCAATTGTCGTTTAAAAATGGAAAATGCCATGAAACCGTTTCAAAAAGAATGACTTTAATGCAAAAAGTCATTATTTTCAAACATTTATGGAACCAATTGAATATTTTAAATTGTGTGTTGCATGCAATTCCTGGCCGAATGGTTCGATTGTATGTCAACATGAATCATTTTTCAATTAGTGATGACCACAAGCAACTTGTTTTCTGTTGAATAAAATTTTTTTTTACGGTCGCATTCGAAATCAACCTCGTTAAACAGGTAGTGAAGAACTTTCAGCTGGTAGCCACACTCATTGTTTTTGTGCTATACAGACACACGCTCACATTCATTTAATTTAAATGAAATCCATTGACACTTTCTATTTGTGTGTCAGATTGTATATTGTTTGGTTATTATAACGCCAATTATACCATTGTATGAATGTATAGACGTCTTTAATGTGTGGGAATAGTTCATGGTTTAGTTGAGATTGTGTATCTTTGTTTCATTTTTACATGGGCAGTAAGCAGCAGCCACCGCAGAGGAGCAGCTGCAAACTACATTTTATTCAAATGAAATGCAAAAAAAAACGCGATGTTTGCTCAAACAAAAACAGAGTAACATTGAAAGAACACCGGACAAAATGGCCTTTTTACAACAACAAAATCGTGTCGATCTATTGATGACTAACAAGTGGAACGATGGCATGAAAACATCTACTCGATATATTAAAAGATATGAATGTATGATTGAATGAGGTGGCTTAGCGCAAAAATATGCATTAAATATATGTGTTTGTTTTGTTTTTCGTTCGAAAAATTATCTTTTTTTTTCGTCTATCATTAATCGCATGCGATTATTCAGCTGATGAGTTTTTATTCACGTTTTTGTTGTTGTTTTCAAGCTTTGATGTTTTCTCTCTCTATCTTTCCCTTTATTCAACTTTATTAGCGATAAGATCCAATTGCTTAGAACAGATAATAATATTACAATGTTTCCACACTTGTCATACTTTTTTTGAAAATAAAATGCAGCGCACACACAAATTCTCATAATCCAAAGATAGGTTTCATGTTCATCTGTGATTGCATCCAAAATAGATATCTCTCATTCAAAAAAGTCGGAATTCAGCTTCACTCCTCACACACGCACTAAATAAAATCAAAATTCACTGCTACGATGCTAAAATACAATCTCTCACTATGGTGTTTTTTTTTTCGTTTTAATTTGATGGCTTTACTATGGATGTGGCTGTCGATTTGTATTTCTCTTTTTACTAAATTTTATTATTAAAATCGAATTTCACATTGATAAACTGCACCATGATTTGAAAATGTTGTTTGTTTTTTGTTCATTCAATGTTAGGCACAGTTTGTAAAATCTCAACAAATTGTTGTTTAGTAAAAAGAGAAAAAAAAAGTACACAAGAAACAAGATATGCACAGTACTGTCGAGTAAAAACGAGAAGACACGTCACGACGTCCATCCGTAAACTGAAACAAGCAATCCAATGATACTGTTGAAGCTCTATTTATTTTTCGTTATTCGCAAATATACAGAGAACGTATGCGCAGCGCATACGCACACATCCACACACACACAACACATATCAATTGTTCTCCGCTATCGCTCATTCTCTTTTGTTACATTCCGCTCTTGCTCTCTCTGTGTGTTGAATTTGTGACAGAACGAACTGACAATGTTTACACTATGAACTGTCATTCATTCAATGTTTTTTAAATAATATTTCTTTTGGTTGGAATTTTATGCGATTGGAGTTTTATCGTAGGAAAATTCAATAACGTGAATTAAATTTCAAAACGCTTGATTGACAAAGGTATGACGAGATTTGTTGTGGTGGAACATAAATCGTTTTTTGAGTATGTTTGGCATGTATGCTGTTGAACCCTGCGACCGTCTATCTTTTTCAAACAAATCGTTTTGGGTAAATTTGCATATGTTATTGTACAGACAGGTCATGTGCACATTTTATCGCATTTTTGTACCTTCACCAACCTTTGGAATCGTTTGCATTGGACATCCAATATTTATGATGCAGACTCATTATACGATGGATAAAAACAAATAAACAAAACGGAAAAAGAACAACAGATGAGAATCATCCACTTTTCTCGGCTTGCCAACATGCGCAAAATGTTGATATTTTTTGATCTAGAATATTTCAGGGGATAAATCTTATCAGTCACATCATTTTTTCTTCTTCAATTGAAATATCAATCTTTCAAATATCAATTTTTCTTTAAAAAGTCTTTAAGAATATTATCATTATTGCATTGGAAATGTTATATTTCAAAAAATTACACAGGTCTTTCAATTGTGTTAAAAATAATTGCACTGTCTACAAGTCTACTATAGTGAGATATGTATTTCTCAAATCAAAATTGAATGGTAGATGTACATTTGTAAAAGCCGTCTACATCCTTGGTTTGCATGATACTCAAATAAATGTCATTGAATTGTTGCGAACCAAATTCGTATTGTGCATATTTTTCCAAAATATGACGAGCATCAAATGTTTTGGCTTTGAATTTTTGCACAGCACTCGCATTGCCGTCCTCATCTCTATTTGTGAGGTTTGCATTGATCAATGTCATGTGCAATTTAACGGTGTCTCGATCAAATTCACGCTTTCCCAAACCTAAAAGTAGTTATTTTAAAGAAGGATAAACAATAATTTTGATTGAGACCAACCTGCGTCAATGAAACGCTTTAGAATTGCATCGGCAATTTCTTGTAAAGCATTTGATTCGATTTTTCCATATAAATATCGAACGCTACTCTCGTCGTCATTCATAATTTCAACACCGCGGATATTCGCCGAAATTGCTCCTCCGTGCTTATTTTTTATGGGTCTGTCGGTAATGTAACGTAAATAAAGTAAGAAATGTACTCAAGTAAACTATGAATACATACATTACGATTGATTCACGGCAGTCATTCAATAGGTCAACGGCACGTCTGCGATCCTGGTCATCCATCAAAACCAAAACCGATATGGTTATATGCAGTTTATCCGGCTGTGTAAACATTTCTTCTTGCAAACCCACAGTTGATCCGCTTTTTAAAATATCATCCTGAACAATTGTTGAAAAGGAACAGTGCTGAAGGTGTATTTTGTTGAAATATAAAATGAAATGAAAATCTCTACCTTAAAGGCAATGAATCGATGTTTGATGTTTTGTTCAACAACTCTGACGCAGGTGAAATGTGTTGGTCGCTGCTTATTTCGGCAATTGATCAAAATCAGCCCTATACGACGAAATGCCAAACAAACTGATTCTCGCTTTTTGCCCAATATGCTGATGGTGTTCAATGAGCCGTGCTTGTTATTGTTGTTGCTATGCTTGGGAATTATGATTTCGGTGCGTGTATCTCCTTCAATACGTTTTTTCACCGAGCCTTTGTTGCCGATAATAGCACCGTAAAATGCTCTACAACGATTTCATATTTAATTAAAATTGCATAAACTAAATGACGGATGTAGGTACGTGGCTTACTGTGGCACATGAAATGTAAATTTGTAATCGTTTGCTGACACTTTGATAACATCAATATCGTCATCTTGCACAATTGCATCTTCATCGCCATACAAATCTGGAAATAAAAAACACATTCATTGAAATTATTTTCTTTTTTCGGTATTTTCGATGAAAAATAATGTGTGTATTGCAAACCATCTTCTATGTATTCATTTCTTGTCGGCTGTTGATGTTCATATTCAGTTTCTTTGGCTACGGAATTAATTCTATAACATCGTTTACCAATCCATAGTAATTGCGGCTGTAAAATGTCCATTTTTCAGGATAAAAAAAAATTGATAGAAGAAATAATGATCTCTCTTTCGTGTGTACAATTGAAAGGGTTGACATTTGTACTTAAGACGTTTTTGCATGACAGGTTTCTCAATTAAGTATATTTGCACATTGTTCAAATTGAAATAAACTCTTCATACATTCAACGAATTTTTTTTTTTCAAAAAGGTAAGACATAAAAATAATAACTAATTATCAAATACTATTTCTATTACTATTGTCCATATATTTATAGTTGGCGTGATGGATTCAAATTTTCCGGATAACACTAAAATGGAAACAACAGATGAATGGGGAATGCATAACGGTAATGCACATGTTGATGGTGAATTGATGCACGTTTATATGGATATTAAGTCGCCGATTGTAGCTTTAAAGGTTATATTGGAAGGAAAAACCGAAAAACCCATAATCAACTACGAAATTTGGCTTCAAAATGTTGAAAAAATTGAGCCATCCACAACACTTGTCGATCAGTGCGAAAATGGCGAAGGTTTGGTACAAGTAATTGTCGAAATTTTGCATGACATCAAACGCATAAATATAGCCGATGTTGTCAAGCCAACAGAAGAAGTGGTAAATGCGGCAGCAGACTCAGACATTGCTATGGATGACAATGAAGCGAATAGCAGCCATTCGTCAGCTGGTAATTATTTCAATGTTTTTTTCTTCTCATTCTTTTTGTTCGCATTCATTTATTTAAAGGGATCGATCAATTGAATTCATTTGGTGATGCGACACGCAAAGAGCCTGTCATTTTAAAAAGAAAACATATGGAATTAGACGAGGAAAGTGTATTGCCGTCGGGTCAAGGCAATCGCACCGGAAACAATGGTCAGATTCAATTATGGTGAGGCACGAATAACTAAAATAATCAAATGAACTACAAGTATGAAGATTTATTTTGTATGACATTTCGTTTTTAGGCAATTTTTATTGGACATTCTAACTGATAAGCGTCATCAAAGTATTATTCAGTGGATTGAAGGCAGTCCACAATTCCATTTTATTGACCCAGAAGAAGTGGCAAAATTGTGGGGTCAGCGTAAAAATAAGCCGGCAATGAACTACGATAAACTGTCGCGAGCTCTACGCTATTACTATGGTGGCAGCATGCTTGAGAAAGTCGCCGGCAAACGGTATACATATCAATTCGTGTATCCGCTGAAAGAACTGATGGGAAAAAACGCACAAGAGCTGGCAGACTTTGCAAAAGGCGTCCCAAGGCAGCCGAAGCCGAGACGAATCACGACAACATCACCTTGTCACTTGGCTCAGGATAAAGCGGCTTTTATCAAAACTCCAGTCTTCGACTCGAAACCAAATTGAACTCTTCGATCTAAGCAAACGTAGACTAAAAAATATTGTGCAATGGTTTGTTTCATAATAAAAATGAAAAACAGCAATTTTAACCCTTTTTTCTGATATCCATGCAATTTATATACAATATATAGCCTAGGCCAACTTATAAGAAAATTCATTGATGAAAATTCAGTTCTATGATGATTCATATTTATGGTATCATTTCTTTTGTTTAATACGTGCTTCAATTATTGGAAAATCTTTCACTGGACAACAGCTTCGAATATATTTTAAATAGACGGTTTTAGTTCCAGCAATTCTGCTTAATTTAAGGGTTGCGCCAGTTTTTCTCATTTCACATAATCGTAATTTCATTTCATCCAAGTTTTTGATCAAAATATATAATGAATTTGTAATTTCATTCGCTGTAAGGCCAACTTCACTCTGCCAAAAATCCAAATGAGTTTTGATCTGCAATAAAAACAAACAAACAAAATAAAGAGAAATCCTTATACGATACGACCCGATTCCATTAAATCAATTACTTTTAAAGCGGAATATTTTTTTAATTCTGGATACCTTATCGAAGCGTCTTTAAGATCATTCTCACTCCAACCTAGCCGGTTTGAAAGATATTCCATGCTATTTGCAAATCCATCAAGCGATTTCTTTTCTTCAAGACGTCTTTCTATACGCCTGTAAATGGATATTTCGAATTTGTTTTAAAAAAATATCTTTTTCTTTTATCATAAACGTTTCATACAATTTGAATTCAGGTGAATATAATTTGTTAATCATATACGTCGATATTTTATCGAGGCCGGTTTTTTTAAGACTTTTGATTCTGTGGTCAATTTGTGCCACGCTATTGAGTTTGAAGACCCTTGAACATGACAAAATAGTTGTACGATCTACGCCATGTTTCAGAAGAACATCTAACTTTGGTTTGAGAACATTTGGCATGGTTTTTAAGAAAACCTCACTTTTTGCAGCAAAACTGGCGGCAACCTCAGTGACTGGTATCTCTAGTTTTGCGCTAAAATAATAAATCGGATGATCATTTCCAATGGCGTTTAATTCAACGAGATCACGCTTGTATTTTTCCAATACAATCGCGTCGGCAACTAGCAGAGGAATGAAGTCTGCAATATTATTCGGTTTCATTTGTTGTACGATATTTATTTTCTCCTTAATTTCATCTAAAAAAACATTTGGAATTTAAATGACATCACAAAATAAAATTCAATCCATACCAATGGGCATAGTGAGCAAAAATCCATTTTTCCTAATTGTCACTTGGTCGATTTTCATTTCCAATAAATGGCTGACATTCTGTTCTGCCACAACTAGTTCATTTAAGTCATATACATAAGTGTAATACAGCTTAGACGATTCAAAATGGTCACCAGCTAATAACGACATCAACGACTCAACGATTGCTTTTTTGTATATGTTAAGTTTGTTTATTTGTATCATCATTTCGGCGGATAAGGCAGTCCTTTTTTCGGCTCTTTCCAATTTGAATTTTTCAATTAACCTGTATGCAAAAAGACCAAAGCAATGAATTTCAATTTTAATTTTGGCCACAGACTTGTAACAATTGTTTCTCAAAGCAGTAAATCAAAGACTGTTTCTCCCTCATTTGCTCATAGCGCTCCTCATGGCATATAGTTATTACTATGAGAAACAGTCTCTGAAAAAAATCCCAATTTTTATATGGTGTTGGTAGTGTTCAGAGCATATACTGAGCATAGAAGTTATTGTTAAAGTGATTGTAGTAATGTAAATGGTTTTATACTTAGACCTATAACAATCACTTCTATTGTTTTCACTCCATTATAATGTCTGGCTGCGATAAATATCCCGGATATATATCTATGCTCAGTATATGCTCTGGTAGTGTTACATTTGAATAAAATCTCAGGAGGAGGCTAACATTCATTTTCGTGCATATATTTGTTAACAAACTCATCGAACATTTCTTGTGACAAATGAAAATGCGACGTTTTCACCGGCATTCCAAAAGATAGTGCACATTCAGAACGACGCAGCAACCTTTCAGCACCGCACAAAAAAATTGGTTGCCAATTCCATTGGGTTCACGCCATAGTCCATCAATATTCTTACTTTTTTCTCGAAGTTTTGAAATGTTGTAAATGATATATTAGATTTACCATTGGCAATGGATCTTGCAATCACTTGTGGTTCAACCTGCAATTATTGATAAAATGTTTGTTGTAAAATATCGAATTTGACTTATTTTGGGTGAATAATAAACCTGAAGACGTTCGCTCAAATAATAAATACGATTTATGTGTTTATGAATTGCAGGTTTATACTTATCCTTCAATAATCCGCCAACAAGTTCTTGAAGTTTAATTTCATCGAGTGTTAACAACGGTGCAAAATCATCGATACTCTTCGGCTGCATCGATTTTAACACATCTATCTTCTTGTTCAGTGATTCTAAAATTAATCAATTACAATCATTTCTATAGATATTATTCAATACAAACAGTCAAACACGAACCGATATCTATTGTGAGGAGTGATGGATTCTCGGATATTGACTCTGCCGACAGATTTGAACGAAGATATTCCAGTGTATCGGTTTTAATTGCATTAATTTTCCGTAACGCTGGAAAATCACTATAAATCTTTTCAGCAATGTCTTCGGAACAACATATTTTGCGAGAAAGGTTTGCAATGGCCATATATTCCTTCGGTTTTGATGTAGCCGTTCGTTGTTGTTGATGGACATGCTTCACTTGTAGATATGTTGAAATTACAGGTTGTATGCATCTTTGGTTGTTCAAAACGTAACTGCTAACAATATTTTTTAAGAACATTATCGATTGATTATTATATTTTGATTAAGAGAAATAGAAGAAGAAAACACAAGAATTTCCTAATAAGAACTATTTATTGCATCAGTTTGCAATTTTAGATTTACAACTGTCAAAGTAATTGAATCAGTTGTCAAAATGTACAAATGTCAAGGTTTCAAATTGCTTATAACAGCAGCACCGTTCAAATGAATCCAACATCAATTGAGAGGCTTTGAGTAAAAACCGCACATCGCGTCTCATCTCTTGCTCTCATTTACGGGAATTTCTGTAAGCAAGATAAGGAGGTGGTATGCGAATGCTGTTTTTTCTCTCAGCTCTGTATTTTCTCAGAATAATATTTCATAATCAAAGAAAAAAACTGTTTTTCATTTTTCCATAATTTTTAATTATTCATGCAATTTAGTTTGTTCAAGGTAGTATAGTAGTTTGCTTATTATCATTTTTTTGTTAAAAAGAAAACAATATTTATTTTTATTTTTCGCCGCTACAATTCATTCATTAAGTCAGTAATTTTGGCATCAACTGTTTAAAAAGTAGCGCGTGCTCAGATGTGAGACAGTCATGAATTGCTCTTTTGATCATTTTATTCACCAACATTCGGCACACAAATTTGAATAAACGAACTGAAAAAAATACTTAAAAGCCAAACCACTGACATCTGTCAACCGTCTGACGTTTAAAAACCCGCATAGTTTGACAGATGAATCATATTTACAATGTGACAAAGTGCATGAAAGTATGAGCCTTTATAACGAAATACCAAATTATTTTGTTTGGTTAAAATGTTAAATTTACACAAATTGTTTAGATCCAGTCAATATGCCAGTGGCATATTTTCTAAAAAATATACCACCATTTCGACAAATAAAAAAATTGACGAGGCATATTCAAATAGTGAGTAGAAAAAATTCTAATGTGAATATATTTCAATGAGTTTCTTATGAATTCTGTTGTTTTATGAAACAAAAAAAAAAACAGGAGAGAATTTCAGCGATTTAATTGCGAGACGTCAATCGGAGGCATTATGTTCAGTAATACTCGAAGTAAATACAAAGGATATATGTGGCCAAGTGTACAATTATTGTAAACAATTTGGTGAAACAAAGAATGCATTCGTATACACATTGAAGGATGGACGAAACTTAATGTTACTGGAATATAATCAATTGGATGCGGTCAAAGAAATACAACAGTTTAGTGGATTTCAGGTGAATACAGTGAAATGGCCAAATCGGATTCTAACCGTACGAAATTCCAAATTGAATCCATCTCTATCGCACGATGCTCCTCTTCAATTTGAGAATGCCGTTCAAGTTCCCATTGCAAATATTCTACGAAATGCATCAACGTTTGATGAACAAGTGTATCTTCTTTTCAAACATACCCGTCACACCGATTTATCGATCAGATTGAAGTTTATCACCGCATTGCAGGCACAAGTTGTGATCAATCAATGCTTACAAAGTTTCTTTCCAAATGCAAAGCTCTATCCATTCGGTTCGACGGTAAATGGATTCGGAAGACTGGGTTGTGATCTTGACATGTGTCTTCGATTCGATCGAGTTGGCGAAAGCACAAATAAAAATAGTGAGTCATTATTGGAATTCCGAGGAAATAATATTGAAAATGACAAACGCGACAAAGTGAAAGGTTATCAAGTCAAGTGTATAGCTTCATTGATTGAATCCCTTCTTCCTGGAACCGACAAGATTTCATCTGCTAGCGGAGCACGGGTGCCAATCGTTAGATACTTTGATAAAAATATTCACAGCAGCGTAGATATATCTATTGATAACACGTAAGATTTTAATGATTTTTACCATTTTTTACGCTGTACGATTAAGGCATATTAATCGTTTTCCTTGTATTTTACAGAGATGGACTGCCGATGACAGAGTATATTTACACAATGGGTTTGATGGATCCACGAATTTCACCATTTATATTTTTAGTACGTTGGTGGGCAAGGGAATTTCAAGTAACCCGAAAGTATCGTGATAATTTCACAAATTTTCAATTAACATACATGTGTTTAAGTTTTTTAAAACAATTAAAAGATCCATTGATACCCACGTTTGACGATTTATTGCAACAGCTTGGCATCGACGAATCGGAAAGCATTAACAATCTTAATAAATCATTTATCGGTTTCGATTGCGATCGGATTGATTTTAAAACGGAAAACACAAGCACAGTTCTTGAATTATTCATCCAATTTCTAGAATACTTCGAGTCGTTCGATTTTGACACACAAACGATAACACTCAGGACAACCGGAATAATACCTAAGCCAGAGACAGTGTCTGTATTCTTGGAAAATGTTCTTAATCCATCGTCGACCAATTCATTTGCTGAAGGTGTAAGCAGGCGTGAACGGGATGCGATGCAAATTGTAATGCGTGACACATTAGAAGAGTTACAACAATGCAACACCAAACCAACAGGCACACAACAGAATTGGGGACTATTAGAAATTCTTAGACAATTAAAATAGGTTTTAGAAAAATTTGTGTAATTTAAAATTCGATTCATTAAAAAGAACTTTTCCATCGAAAAATATACTGTACTGAATGTATTCAATATCAGCATTTAAATTGAAGGATTCTGAAAAAATATCCTTCCTTTTGAAAGGAAAAATAAAACAGTTAATCATTATTTATATCACAAGAAATAGTTTATACTAGTGGAGTTCAATTCATCACTTTTAATTCTAAAAAAACATTCAGAGTCTTTAACGGTAAAGTTTAATCAGAAAGCAATGAAGATCAAATCTATAATAACTCGCTCCAAACTCCAAAGAAAGCATTAATGATACGTATTTTTATCGAAATCTTTTTATTTTCTTAAAAATTTCACCTGAAAAGAATACAATTAATTGAATAGCTTAAAGTTCTACACATGAACATGGGTTGTCCGTCAAACACAGTGAAATGTTGCACATTCTCTGTTCTGCTTGGATGTCTGTCATCATGTTGAATAATGTGTGACATAGGTAGCAATTGATGAACTATGGCACAATATAAATTACAACGAAACATCCTTTGATAGTTCGCAAAGATTTCCAAAATTTGGTAAAAAAAGTGAAAAACGTTAAAATGGAATTGGTAGATTTTTTTGCTTGTTTCTTCCAGATGGCATTGCAAGCATTTGGTTGTGCTGTACTGCCATCTGTGTTGAAAATAAAACAAGGATATAAATTCGTCCTTCTTTATTTGTCAAATCGCATCATTCCAAACATTTGCTTAATGTTGCATAGCTGTAACAATTTATGATTCAAAATGAAATTTTTGAGAGAAGTAAATATACTTAAATTACCAAATATATCGGTGGGCTTTATTTGCGGTTTATTTGAAAGTATTGTGAGATTAGGAATCCTTGTTTTCTTATTCAGATGTTTGGTAATGCTAACCTTATATTTTGTTATTGAACACAACAATAAATTCTAATCTTTTTGTAGACATTTGAAAATGATTCGGTTTGTGAAATGATTGGAAATATATGGTTTGTATTAAACCTTATTGCAGGTATGTGAAACGATATTTTGCCATTATTCTGAAAAAAAAAATGCTTAGATTTTCTCCATGTTTAGTAACCATGGTGCCATTTAAGTCGAAAATGTTGTCCTTTATTACCATGTCAATAATTTGGGCAGCATCAATTACACTCTCTATAACAGTGTTGGTGTTATCATTGCCGAAATGTTCGAGCTTGCATCGATTTATATCAGACTTAATAATCATTATTCCAGTCATCATACATACAACTTTCCAGGCGATAAATCATATTTTGTTGATTTATAAGATAATTCATGGAGTGAGTATGAAAATATTTCTGCAAAATTTATATTCCATATGCTTTTTGTGTGAAATTTGTATTTACAAAAATTTAAATTTTCAGGGTAGTCACAATCAGTTCAACAAATCTCTCAAACTAATGTATTCACATTCATGTATATGTCCAATGTTATCGGCTTTTATTTATATCTTCTTATGGCATGACCCTATATTCAATCAAGTAATCCTAGAAGAATTCAGTCTAAATATTTTATTTGGCATGTCTATCATTTGGTTGATTTTATTGTGTATTATTGGTAGGTATTCTAACTATAAAATTCTGTACTGAAATCTAATTGAAAAAATTCAATTTATACAGTCTCATGCTATTGTGGTTCGTGTTTTTCGCCAATCTCGTTATTTTTAATGAAATTCAAACACTCGGCAAAATGTGGATGTATTGATATTAAACAACAACAGCCAAAAGTCCATATTATTTTAATAATGAATATTTATACCGTTCCGGTCATTATTTCACTGGAAAAGTTTCCCGAACATTTCATCATTTTAATTTTGATGTACAATTTATCTTTCGGTATGTTTTAAATATTTTATTCTGTGTTCAACAACTACTAATTATATAAAGTTTTTCTTTTGTTCTTGTGCAGCGCAGGAAAGGTTTTTGAGCATACAAACTCAACCATACAAATTAAAAGAGAAGACAGTAGAACAGAATTCTCTCGATCCCAAAAATTGTAGTTGCGTCAAGGAGAAATTAGACGCTTTCATTGAGAGACAAAAATATACATTATATATACTTATGATTTCTACGGTTTTTCTGTCTCTTATTATTGAGATAGAATATTGGGAGTTATACGAAATGAAAAAACATGCAGAAGTAATATTAAACATTGCGTGTGCATCAGTAATCCTGTCGTGTTCTATTCAGATGTGGCGACACAAAAAGTTCGCAGGGGATATTTTTATTATTATATTTTTTGCCTGGCTCATTGTAATTTGAATGCTAGAATGATTCTATCGAAGATATCAAAAAACATTTTTAGCAATAAAATAGACAGTAACATAAGTTTAAAGAAAATTGGAGTAAAAAAATAAATGAAAGAATAGTTTTAACAAACAACTACAACTCGATTTACGTAAATACTAATATCAATTGATTTATTTCACTCTTTGAAATAGATTGATACGGTTTGGAGTTGGATTATCGCACCCTTTTAAAAGCATCCAAATATGTATATATTTTGTAAAACGCCTCTTGCTTGATTGATAAGTTTAATAACCGAAGTGTATTTTTTCTACATTTTATTGATATAAATCGAAATAAAAATACAAAAAATTCATTGTAATTCGAAAATATTTTGTATATTTCCTTTAGTTTGATTCACGTTTACTTTCAATGACCGATTTTTCATTAAATATTAATATTGATATTTAATTCAGAAGAGTAACGAAAAGGCTCCTTTGAAATAATATCACATTTTGGATCGTACATTTTTTCGATTATGGTTTGAAGAGAAATACCATTGAAATGCATTTTCTCTTAAAAAGTAATTGGAAATGAAATTAATTACACTGAATTGAAATCGATTTTTTTTTTCGAAAACTTTAGTACGATATCATTAGACCATACCCCAATAGATGACAAATTCGAATTTCGGTTCAAGGTGATAAAAAATCAATCGGAATACATAATTTTTCATTCAATAAGTGCATGTAGCAAATTTTATTTGTTTTATTACCAAGTAACGTTTTTTGTTGAATTTTTTCTACGCAACAAATTCAAATTGGTTGAAATGTAATACATTTTCACAAAAAATGGGAAATAGTCGAGCATAGAAGGAATCCAACAGATGATAACCTGCAAAAAAAATCATCATCAATTCAGAATTAACAATGTTTTGTCAGACGTTCTATTTATATGAATAAAATAATTACTAACTTATCGCCAATTTGTACAGAGCAAATTGGCTGTTTATCTTTCATTTGTGTATAATTATAACTGTTTGCCGGAATGTGATATTGATTTCCACTTTGTTTAAAGAAAGATTCGACTGATAAACAAAAAATGATATTATTAAAAGAAGAACAATTTTTTAATCGAAAAGATTCTGCTCTGTCAACTGTTTTTGTTGTATCTTACTCGATTTTTTACAAATTGAATATACTGTTCGGAGATCGTCAAAATGAAAATTCAAATGAATATGGTTCGATTGACGTTACAACAAAGGTTTTTTGATAATTTATTAGAAAAAAATGAGCGCATATATTTTAAAAGGATATTACTTTTGCGAGACCTATCATCCACAAGGCCGCTCGAAGAGGTACGATGCAATCATTGATGTTCCTACAAGACCGGAATGTGCATGCCCAGTATGTGGTACAATCAACTTAATTGAAAATAAAGCTGGCTACATCGACATTAATTTATTATATTCAACATTTATTTCTCAAGCAATAAATATCTGCTAGGATTCAATTTTTTCAACATTTTAATTTTAGGATAGGATCTATATTATGTAATATGACAATCATCTCCTCAATCACTGGAAATAGGAATGAAAAATAGTTGAATATTCGCATTAAGAAATTATATAAAAGTTAATGTTTTCAAAAAACGACATTTGTTTTATACAAAAATTCAAGAACATTTTTTTGAATGTTTAGCCAATGAAAATGAACTTAAACAAATGATTTCAATAAAGTTTATTGTATAGTAAAGTGTATACAATGAAAGTATTTTATTTAAACAAGTATATGCTGATTAATTTGTTTACTTTTTATCGAATCGATTGAACTTAGTACATTCAAAATTTTCAGCACGTATTTTCAGTTGTGAAGTTCTTGAAGCAACATTTACCTTTTTACTTCGAAGCAAAATTCATAGATACTAAATGCGATGCCTGTTTATGTAAGGGCATATTACAGATGTAACGATTTCAGTCATCTTTCGACTGAATCCAGACAATACGAAAAAATTCATTCGTTCGTTTCGTATTGTTATATGCAGCCAAGCGCTTGTCCAATATGTGGCAAAATAAATGCACCATATAGAGAGGTAAATTATTTTTGAGCCAATTTCGTTTTATTTATTCAGTTTTAAGTTCCAACAAACTAACTGAAATCGTTTTATTTAATTTAAATAAGACTCAGTTCTAATACTTATTTTGTTTTCTCTATTTTCAGACGTTCTTTACATAAAATAGAGGTTATGGTGAAGCAGCCGCTTCAGAAAATCGATACAACATTTATATTCACATTACATTTGATCAAAGAATGGAATAAAATATAATTGACAATTTTACTTTGACTTTGACTTCTTTTATTAGATTGTGTATTTCCTTTATTATCAAAAATTTATTTCCACAGCAACCCAAAATCATCAAAAAAGGATTGAAAACTCTTCAATTCAATTGAATTCATTGGAAATTCATTTTTTATTAGTGTTTTTATTAAACTTTTTATTTCTGTCAACTACTCACTTCATGCGAGTTTATCTTTCCAACTGGAAATAAATAACTGAATTTTATTTAAATGTACTGCTAAATGAATTGAAGTTCTTGCATGCAAAGTCTAGAATACTTAGGGTTATTTTTCTTAAAACATTTTATTTGAATTTAATATCATCAGCAAGAATTAGTGAAGATTTTTATCAACAAGCATTCTGAAAAGTGTATTTTTTCTGAAAGCAATAGTAATCAATGTTTACTGCTCAATCATCGAATATAAAAGTAAATCAGAGAAGATAACAAAGTATCAAAATTTAGAATTGGCTCACATTATAGATAAATCGTAGTGTCAAGAACTAAAACAAATTGGGTAGAATTTAATTTTTTTTAAGTTTTCGGTAAATACTATAGTATATAATTTGGATTATATTTTTACCGAAAAACTTTTAATAGTTTACCGAAATTTATACTCTATCTATTTTTTTCTGTATGCCATACCACCTAACTTCGTATTTAAACCAAGGAAGAAATGTCTCTACTTACGATTGTTCAAGCACGATAACAAAAGAAAGTCTGAATTAGAAAACCTGTGGAGAAAGAACCACACACAAACACTTATAGCACTACACAATGAAAAGAGAAGGCTTTTCGCTGGCGTTTTGCCAAAAGATATTAAATTTTATTGAATATCATATTGTTGACAAAACAGTGTTGTAAAATTGAAATAATTCATAAATGATTTCAATTAAGTTGATTTGATGATTAGTTTCTGACGGTACTATCATCGGACACTACCTGTAAACGAAAATTTTTTTATAAAGGGTTAAGAAAATTCAGTTAATGTTAAACTTGGCTTAGTGATTTTTTTTTAGTTAAAATTTATTTTTTTTAGAACTAAAAGAATAACTTCGATTGTCATTTTTTTTCAATCAATTTATTCAACTTACTTCACGAGTAGGAGAGTTGTTTGCATTGCAACTTGGGCACGGGCGATTTTGACCTTTCTCGTGGTTAATTGTGTCGTACTTCTTGCCGCAGTGGCATTCGTAGTATGCGTGAACATTCATCGCTTTCGTCGTAGTTTTTTTTCTGTCCAGAAAATAATTTGCTTCGAAGTAGTTTGATTTGAATCTTGTCAACCGTCGAACTCGAATGTGCAGTACGATCGATTTGAATCCCTTTTATAGGCGATGGAATGACCATAAATGCTTGTTGAAGCAAATTTAAAACAAAAAAAACACTCATTTCACTTATATTCGGAAACGCAATGGCGATTGCTAATTCACAGCTTATCAAAACAAGTTTATACTTATTCGGGAATTCAATACTGCGAAATTGATATTATAATTATTTACACAATGGTTTTCGTACTTGGTTATGTTCATAAAAGAAATTTTGCGTGCAAATCAAATTGACTGAATTGCATATGTTTTGTTTGCTTCAATTCTTCGAGAATGATTCTTTTCTTTCCAAAAGTATTTATTTCCCATTATTCCATTTTTTCTACACGTAAATTATTATTTTCATTGCTTAATGTAAGTTGAGTGTAATAGACGTATCGGGGTCAAAAAAACTTTTATCCGAAGTTTCGATGATCAAGTTTTAATGAGCATTCGAATTCTAATTAAAATTTAGATAACAACACAGTTGTTTCACATTTCTCATGTAAATAACTTTTAAGAGCAAAATTTGTGGTGCCAAAGTTCACAATTTGACATGCATTACAACACTTTTATGTACCGATTTATAAATTAAAGTCTATTTATTTTCGAATCGTCCATCAAAATTTCAGCCATTAAATTCAATTAAGATTTGCTCTGTTCATCACAGAATAAATCAAAACAAAATTGTTGTTTGTAAAATTGAATAATCATATTTTCATGTTCATTATAAAGCCAGCCGAATGTTGTATCGTTTCTGTGGGTACTTGCAATCAGTGCAAAAACGCTGATCGAATTGAAAGTGTCACATAAACAAAACTTCCATAATTTAATATTAACATAAACAGTCAGTTAATTCTATCTAGACTACACAAAAGAGATTTATACAAACAAAAATTGTGTAAATCATACAAAAACAGTTTTTCAAATAAAATGAATTTAAACGGATTTATTATGTGTAATAAGATGAATTTTGAATTTATTTCGCCATAGCCAGAAAAATAGGACAAACTTTTCCGCACTGTAATCCACAACATGAATTTTTGTATGGGAGCCATTGTCTTTTATGGTGTCATAATACCGTCAAACTTATTATTTTTTTCCACAACATAATATTCTGAACAATTGAAGAAATTCCAATGCATATTAGGGTCAGGGACCGGTTCGCGCATATTTCTATGCTTGCCTAAATACGCTAGGTAGCATAGATATGCCAAGCATAGCCGCAAACGCAACCGACGCATCGCCGTTCACTCTATATGAACAATACAACGAACATGTATGCAGGCGACCGTGCATTGAGAGACGTACGCATACAATATAGCTCGAATCGAATGGCAACGGGTGCGTTGCAGCTTGCGTCTCCGCTATGCTTAGCATAGCTATCAGGCATAGAAATATGCGCGAACTGGTCCCTGATTAGGGTTACCCCCACAAATTTTTTTTTGGGCCAAAAATCATAGTATGGATATTCAAAATCTCAACATAAATGGATAATAGATATTCATCAGGATAATGTCCACCAACAAAAAATGAAAGACAATAGAAACAATTACAAGCAATTCGTGCACGTGAAGAATCAAATCAATCAACGTCGATATTAAAACAACAAACAACTGCAAAAATCGTTACATTTTTGAGTCGTTCTCATTTTCTCTCACTTAAAACATTCACGAATATGAAAAGAATGGAAAACAAGTTTTATTCCTTAAATTTGGTTTTTTCTCTATGTTTCAATTGATTACTGTATTTTCTCTATTTAAATAAAGAAAACTCTAAGTAGAAATAAACACTATGTACTTTTTTCAACTCGCTGAGGACTTTAATTTCGCTTGAAGTGAGAAAGTTTTCTCTCTCTTAATTTAGCAGCTTTACAAAGTTACATTGAGAAAATAACATAGAAATAAATAATTAAAAATTCGAAAACGAGAAGCAACCGGTCGTACTTTTTACATTTCATTTCGTGGATAATCAATTTTCATTTTCCGTGGTTCGAAAAAAGTGCAAAAAACCGAAATTCGATCCAATGCATAGCTATGCATTGACAATATGTTTGATAACAATGAAACTCATTGTTTGCAATAAAACATACAATATTTGGTACATTTTAATTTTGCGACAGCAATAATCTCAATTTTTTTTCTCGGTTACAGTTATCTCAATTATTTTCCGGTCTAAGAAGAACAGATTCTGATGAAGTCATTTTTATTATTTTCTCTTTTTATTTCATGCTCTGTCCGTTTGAAACTTCAACAGTATTTGTTTATGTACAAGAAATACACTAATCAAGTGGAGAAAGTGATCGGGATCTATGTTTCATGGACGCATATAAGTGTGAATATAAACATATACACTTTTAAACGTAACAATATACTACTGTACACTTATTTCAACGCCGCTCAAGAGAAAAATATTCTCTTTCACTTGAGAAGTTCCTTAGTTGGATTAAAGTTTCACTTCAATCTTCAATGATAACAACTTTATATTTTTTATGTTCCTCTGAACCGTTCTTTAATTCTGTGATATTTTTACTCATTATTTGAACATTTATATTTAACATAGAGTGATATTTCATTTGAAAATATGTAATGATATGAATTTGGTCTTATCTTCCATGAATCGTATCAGACTTCTTTTTCTTTTATAAATGTTTTATCATCAATTATTGTATATTTATATTGACGATATCCAAAGGGATCTTCATCTGGACTAGGGTATGCATCGCTATATATGTTCATATAAACATCCGTAATTTTGGTAATATCTGCAGTTTGAGCCATTTTCTCATAGTATTCCTTATTTGGACCTAGCAAATTATAATCAAATTTTGAAACGTCCTTCTTCTGTTGAGCCTCAGTGAAATTTAGCATTTCTTCCAACATTTCTGACTTTAGTGGTAACTTCTTGGCTCCAGAGATGAATTTCAGAGAAAAACGTGCCTGTAAATATATTTTCACGATTTTTTTTTATTTCATAGTTATAGTGAGACATTTTTGCAATTAAAAAAACTATCATTCAATTGCTATAACACCAACCTTTAAATCGTATATTTGGTTCGACCCAGTTAAACCAATAAAAGCCATCGTCGTATGATTTATGTTCAGAGTTTGCATGTAGAGAGGTTGCAGATAATTGTCATCAATTCGAATGCCTGCATCATCGTCCAACATCGGAAACGAAAGTCTGTAACCTGTAAAATAAAAAAGACAAACCAAACGGTAATACCATTGTCATCGCTACTACTATGCAACGTGCATCGCATCAATTTACCTGTTGCATATATAATCACTGTAAAATCTTGTTGCGTGTTATCCATAAACTCGGCTCCATTTGATGTTAAAAGTTTCACATCATTTTTAAATGTAACAGTTTCTCCATATCCTTTTTGTTCTTTTGCTGTTGGTTCTTTGGGCTTACGTCTACTCCACGTTACCCGATTGGCAGTCTTTGAAAGTTGAAATGCAATGTCCGTTCCACTGTCACCACCTCCGATGAGTAAAACATCTGCACCTATTCGATATAATGAAACCAAATAAATTAAAACTGTGAAATTCTCGTTAACATTGTTGACTTGTTAAACACTAAAAACACATATTTTGTGAATTACGAACCTCGAAAATCTTCAGCTCTACGGTAATCATGGCTGTGTATAATTTTTCCTTTGAATTCATTGGCACCTTCAATTTGCGGATAATTTGGTGATGAAAACATATTAACGCAAACGAAAACTGCATCATAAATCGCCGATACGGTCCTGCTGTTAGGCAAATCTTTGACAACTACGATCCATTGGTCATTTTGAATCGAATGAATTTTGTCGACAAAATGATGGAATTTTATGTGTTTCTTCAAATCGAAACGTTCAGCGTAAGAGTTTAAGTATTTCAATACCTCCTCATGTGGTGGATATGATTGTGTATTATTTGGATATTTATGTCCTGGATATTCCATTACTTGGTATGGTAAAGTTGTTCTGTTTGAACGTAACAAACAATCAATATTTTTAGCATTGAAATGATATAGACATTTTCAAATGTACCTCAGCCCTTGATACATTGCAGTGTGAATATCAATGCCGTACTCGTCTTTTCCGGTTTTATCTGTGTACCACCATATTCCACCCAATGCCTCAGTCTTTTCGTAGATCACCACATTATGTCCTTGTTCGAGAGCGTTTTTTGCACTCGTAAGGCCTGCTGCTCCAGCTCCAATAACAGCTATATTCAACGCTTTGGATGTTGCAGGCAACGCATTTATGCTCAGAGTTCCAAGTATCGACATCATATTCATTTTGCTTGGATTGATGTTTCCTGTACCAATAATAAATAAAACTGATTTTTCTATTTATTTATTTTTTATTCACCGTCTGATCATAGACTGAATTTATAACAAAATTTGTAAAATATCAATTTTCAATGAAACACTACCCGATTGAATATACAGCCACCAGTCTTTTCGACTTCGGAGCAGCAGATATCGATTGTGTACATTGTATATTTTCTCTTTTGAACACATGATTTCTTAAAAATTAAATAATTCACCGAGTTACAAATATCAAATATCAAATTGTCCAATTTAATTATGCTATTTCTAAAAATTTGTCTCGATGCCGAACATCACATCTAAGGTTATATGGTGACAATACATAATTCTCATCTCTTTGATAAACAAATCTCAACGACCATATCACAAATTTTTTTTGAATTGATTCTATTCTATCGATGTGATGTTTTGAATATTCAACCGCTTTGGAGACGGCGTATAAATGCCTCTATATTTTTAATTTATGATCTGCTTTTAAGTAAAATAAAAAGTCTTACGGGAGTAAGACGAACTTTTCCGCACTGTGGTAGTTGCGTATTTTATTAAGAAAGTTCAAAATAATATTTGCTCGATTCTTCAAGTCTTTCAAGCGGCGTAAAGTTCGAGACCAAAAAATATGTTTCAACTTTGGCAACGAAATATTTTTTAATTTAATAGCAGAAGTACCCGAGAAAAGATTTTTCACACTTTCATGATGAACCCATTTGTACGACATTTGAAAGTATTCTATTTTCTAACAAAATACTATAAAAAATATGTCTGACGTTAATTTTGCCATAAAAATTATTTTTGAAACACTTTCCATAACTAAAGTCACAAAAAATTTGGATCTTTGTATGGGAGCCATGTCTGTATGCTATATTAATGGTGTGAAACTTTGCACAGGTTATTTTTTCACAAAAAAATAACATTCGTAGGGTTTGGAGAAATTTCAACCAAAATTAAGGGTACCTCCCATACAAAATATTCGTTTTTGAGCCAAAAATTTAAAATTTTGTATGGAAGGTACCCCTAACTTTGATCGAAATCTCTTCAAACTTTCAGAATGTTATTATTTTGTGTAAAAAATAGTCTGTGCAAAGTTTCACGTCATTAAAGTATCATACAGGCATGGCTCCCATACAAAAATTCAATTTTTTTGTGACTTTTACAAGGAAACTGTATTAAAAAATATGTCTGACGTTAATTTTGCCATAGAAATTATTTTTGAAACACTTTTCATAACTCACAAAAAAATAACATTCGGAAGGTTTGGAGAAATTTTAACCAAAATTAAGAGTACCTCCCATGCAAAATATTCGTTTTTGAGCCAAAAATTGAAAATTTTATATGGGAGGTACCCCTAATTTTGATTGAAATCTCTTCAAACTTTCAGAATGTTATTTTTTTGTGTAAAAAATAGACTGTGCAAAGTTTCACGTCATTAAGGTAGCATACAGGCATGGCTCCCATACAAAAATTCATTTTTTTTGTGATTTTTTCAAGGAAACTGAATTAAAAATTGATTGTATCTCAAAACTAACGTCGGATTCGGTTTTCTCGTGCCAAAAAACCCCCCAATACATATTTTTGAATGTTTAAGTCCACATTAAGTATGACTTTTGGACGAAAATTGGACTCTTTTTCATAGGTATCACTCCAGGCATGACATTTTTTCCCATCAACCAAAGTCGCTCAAAAGCTAATGATTTCTATTCCTCGGGACCCCCAATCATCCTGTAAAGTCAGATTTTGAATTAAGTTTCTACGATGAGCGCAATCTTGCTAACAAATTTTGCGTACGACGTACAACGTACGACGTACGACGTACGACGTACGACGTACGACGTACAGATTAACATAAACCATGCTCAAAACGGCCTGATTCGGGTTCGCTGACCTCAGAAACGTCCAGAAAACATGTTTCTGAAGTTTTCAAAATTTTGACCGATTACAATACTTTTCACCTTACACTATGTGTGCGGAAAAGTAATAGTGTCTAGCTCACTTAGAGATAAAATTGTATATACAAGACTGCAATATAATGAGAACCAAAGAAATTTGAGAAGTACAGAACTGATTAGAGTTAGGGAATTTTCATCGGATTACGCACATAATCAGCCGTTTTACGTAGCTTGTAGAAACTTTAACTTGATAAGAGAAATATTTTTAGAATCGGCATCAAGACACATCTTTAGGAACAATATTGTCAAATTGGAAAATGTGATATTTGTTCGGTGAAAAATTTAATTTTGAACTTTTATGTGTTATATAGAAATTAAAACAGTGAACACAATCGATATCTGCTGCTCCGAAGTCGAGAAGGCTGGTGGCTGGGTATACGATCGGGTGGTGTTTCATTGTGAACGATATTGTACAAATTTTGTGATAAATTCAGTCTGTGATCAGACGGTGAATAAATAAAATAAAAAAATAAATATCGGAGTGTATACGGTTCTATTCTATCGCGTATTCTAACTTTGATCTGACTAGTGCACAATATAACATTTTGGCAGATTCAATTGTGAACTTATTCTTCAATACAAAATTATATAAATTTATACAAAAAGAGAGAGTAGGAATATCCAAATATTTCAAACAATTTTAAAATCTCATCGTACAGCACTCGTCTAGGCAAACTCAACATGCAGTCACTTCAAAGACGCCGTATAAATACCTCAATTTTATTTATATTCGATTTGCTGCATAACAATATTCATTGCCCATCACTTAAAACGGAAATCGCTCGAAATCAAAATGAACGCAATCTGAGAAATATCGAATATTTCAAAATCAACGACAAATTATTAAAGATCAATCCAACTGTTCCACTCAATTAATTGTGTAAAATGTCAAATATAGTCCACGAACTTTTCTCTACGCAAACGAACTGATCAACATTCAAAAATCGACTTTTAGCTTTAAGTGATGAACACTTTTCCAACTTGTCATTAGTTTCTAATCATAATACTGTTTTTTTGAACGATCTAATGTGATTCACTGTGATATCTTTTATTTTATTTTTTTATCTAAGACTTGACTCATTGTATCCGAGTGCAATCAGAAAACTTTATACTATAAGCTATTTATTTATTGATCAATCCTTGTCGTAACAAAACCGTAAATTATTTTATATTATAAAACTCTATATTGGAAAGATGTGGTTTTTAACGGTGATCAGATGTTATTTCATCATGGATTCATACCTTTTCCCCACCATGTATTAAATATGTACAACTCAAACTATGATTCAGCCAGTTTTTGGCGGTGAATAAAGATTATTAAAATTAAATTTTTTTATTTAACATTCAATAGTTCCAAGTAGCACGTTTAAATTTGTTTGAATTATAGCTTAAAATGTTGTTCATTTGATGACGAACAAAGTATATATAGCAAAAATCCATGTGCAAAAAATTATGAGTCGGTGTATATAAGATTAAATGACCTTAATTTTTTTTTGCCATGAAAGCTAAACAGTTAACAAAAAACCATTCCTTATCTGCCACGAGCACATAGATTTCGATTCAACATTTTACTTTTGAAACAAACATCAGGGCACCCAATTTCATCGAATCTATGTATGGAAAAGTACCGCACACACCGAGTGTGTAAGGTAAAGTATTGGAATCGGTCGATAAATTAACACCTCCCAAAAACATATTTTCTGCAATGAGAAGTAATACATTGCGAACTGCATCTCCGCGCAAAACCTCAGGAAATTACAATAAAATCGTTTTTTTTTTTTTTTTTTTGGAAGTCACTTTTTGAGGCGAAAATCCCTAGCAAATGGGAAGAATTTTCTCACCCAAACAAAGTGAAGAGCTAAAAAAAAAGGTCTTCACTTTTTTCGTGAAAAACCCTAGCAAATTCGAATAATTTTCGCGAAAAATTTTTTCTCATCCAAATCACAAGGGGGGGGTAAACCCCCCCTACCCCCCCCCCCCTCGCACATTACTGATGTTGATGTACATTTTCTGGTCTGACCGGATGTCTGTTAGATAATATTGAGATAAGATAAGCCAAACACGAATTCTCTTCCACATTTGAGATTTTTATGTTTTGAAAAAGATTTAAAAAAAAATAAATTGAATTTTTCATGAAATTTTTTATTATTTGTATGGAATTTGTGAACGAATTAAATGTAAAGTTCTAAATCACAAAGTATTCATTATGTAATTATATAATTATAATTATAGATATGACAATTGAATAGATCGATAATATATAGACTTGTATTCTTATTTTCGTTAAATCTCTTAATTGGCACTAGACTAAAATGAGGCCCTTTTCGTAGGCCACCGCTAGTTTTAATCGTACTTCAAATGAGTAATATAAGCTAATTATTAACAGAAATTAAATGCCATTAAAGATTAAATTCGCATTTCCAAATGAATGCACATCAAATTATTCTGAACAAGTGAACGTACTTGGTTTTGCCGTTACTTGATCAGACATACAAGACATTTGAGATATCGATGAGCTCATTAAATATACGTAATCTAATCATTTTTATGGCAACTACTTTGTTTTTAAAGATTCCTTTTTTTACAATACCAAACTTTCCAGCGCCGAGAGCGTTTACATTTTTATCTATTTTCAATTCATTCGGGTGACATTCATATTTTTTTGGGACAAAGTCAAAGTTCAATAAATCATCGGTTGGTTGGCACACATTTTCTGTTGCATTAACTTCATTTGGATTGTTTTCAGTAGTTCCATTGTATAATGAATTCACTTCAGAGCGAGATGAAGATATAATGCTTCCCCCAAGATTCTCCAATTCGATGTCACCATGGGCTGTGACTGTATTGTTTTCACTAACATTACTGAATCTGAACAATTTTTTCCGTATTACATAAACACCAACAATGCATAAAACAATGAAAAACGTTGACACAAAACTTGGCAGAGAAGATGATGTGGAAGACAATTGAGAAGCTTGTTTACAATTATTTTCCAAAACACAAAATTCACAAAATGGATCCAATGGATTAATCATTGCACACTCTGGGCACTGTAAAAAAGTCGTACAATCATACACTTTAATTTTTGTCACACGCCTCCTCGTCAATACATAGAGATGCTTTTTTTCTCGATCAAATTGTAGATCAGCATAAATCGATGAGTTTTTGTTTATTTCAATATCACCGTATTCGTGTGCCGATGATGCTGATTTAATAAACACTTTTTTCAAATGGCCACTAACGGTGCCGATAAACACAACTGTGAATGCGTTAGTTTGGATCACTGCAACCGATGTCAATTGTGTTTGAAATTTTGCAATCGATGATTCAATTAACGCTAATTTACCGTCAATTCGAGTATTCAATTCAGATCCACAAAAATCGTCATCAATTGTGACATTACTTTTAATGCAACTCTTGACGATTGGCTTATTCGGCCGCAAAAACACTAAGCCCGTGCTACCATTACCTTGATAACACAACTGTATATTGGCCGTGAACTTTTGCCGAATGGATTGCAACGAGTAAATATATAGCGCAGACTTATTTGTTGGTGTGTTACCATTGCTTTCGGAAAAGACGGCATATAAAACATCATCGTCGGGTATAATTTTAAGATGTTGGGCTAAATCGGTGGCCGGCTTAGCCAAATATGCCGCGGTAGCCAAATTATATTTTATACCATCGCCAATGCATTCAACTGGAATTTCCGTGTATGAATTAAACAATTAAAGTATGGATCATTTTGACACACCCGAACCAACTTCGTTATGTATTCGTTGGGTGATGCGTTCGCATTTTTTGGCTGGATGGTTAGAAAATATGAAAAACCCTGAGAACTAAATCCGTAGACATAGTTTATATTATAATATGGTGATATGCTTTTATCAATGACGACTAGTGTGCCATCATCTCTTTCTAATTTTACGTGGCCAAACATATTGTCAGGATTTATGGTTTCATTTAGACGCCGTGACGAAACTGATGAAACTGAATACATTTGATTTTTCTGTAAATTGATCGTAACACCAAGATAAAGTGCATCTATCGAGGATAGATCTGGCGCAATAAATGCCACTGTTGATTCATCTGAAAAGAATTAATTGAATTTATTTACGATATTTTTTGTTTAACATCAATTTTCACCATGAATTACTTTCATTTTCAGCAACTATATTTTCGTGTCGTTTCGATTCGTTGCAAATATTGTTTAGATCTCTTGTTGAGCATGACTGTTTCATCGTACCGCAAACGATCAGATGTTTCCTCTCGTAATCGATCAAGAGTACTTTGTTCACATTTAAATGATTTATTGTGGCATCTCCCCGTGAACAATTCGATGATTTTTCATCAATCGTCAAATTTGGAAATAATTTGAATAGCCTATTATGACCACCAATAAACACCTTGTTTATTAAAATAGAAAATAAATATATGTTATAATGGTGAATGAAAGAGAAAGTGCATTTCTTACATCTCCGGTTTCATGGTTTACAACCAAATGCGTTAAATTCGTTTTAAATTCATGCATAATTTCTTCTCCTTTTACAAAAATCAACTGATTCAATATGATCAAAGTTGAAACAAAATGAATGATAAGCGAAAAGCTCACACCCTTTTTGGACCAACGATTCGATGCCATTGCTCTGCCATATAGCCCAGCATCAATAATAAAAAAAAAAATTTAATTTGTACTGATAATGAACAAAGAATTGTGATGTAATTCACGGTTTAAACTTATTCGAGTCAATGATGAAAAATATTTCAGAAATTAAGTAAAAGGTCCTATAAAGTATGAGTAAAAAATAAAGAGCAACAAAGTAGTTTGAGATAATTCGCAAAGCAAATACTTGACGTATGGACTAATACACAAAAAACTCGCGTTAGCGGTAAACACACACATGTAAAATTCAAACGATAAGATTACGAGATGTTTGAGAAGAGTGAGTGCGCGTCTGTGTGAGCATGTGCGCTGTATTATGCGGTTCAGTATACGGGACCTATTGTCTTGGACGTAAACATAGCATTTATCACAATATATACATATACACAATAAGAATATTGAAATCAGTGCAGTCGCGAAAACTAAGGCACCAATACATTTTATCTTAATGTTTGGATTTCATACTATGGAAAAACCAAAATATCGTCGAATGCAATTATTTATAGATTATGAGGAAGTTGACACCATTTCTGACCTCTTGTTATGCATTGTGACGTCTTTTTATATATTTTCATTAAGATATGGTCATTATGAGTCGCATTGCACGTAATATGCATTAATAAGAGCGTTTTTTCTGGTCAGTGACCATTGCTCTGTTTTAAGAATTTTTGGGAAACTATGTGGTTCATTTTGGACGAACTCTTCTACTAGGATTGAACATAATGAATTTTTCAAATGAGAAGTCTTGAGAACGGTCGTTATTTTGAGTTATAACCATAGAACACAACAAAGAATAATGACAAAATTTTCGATTTTTGCTTTGGTCTATGCATCGACGAAGGTAATGGCTAAAAAACAAAAACTGTTGAGAGTAAAAAAAAATATTACTCCGCCGAGAAAAAAATAAATGCGATATTTCAACTATACATTCCCAGATGGCATCCGAAGAACTATTTATATATTCTATCGTCACATGGACATATATGTTGAATATTGTTTTGATTATTTTCTTTTCTTTACAAAATGATACATTCGGCATGGGTTATGTTCAAAAATCAACATATTGTAAAGTTATTGTTACATATCTTTACTCATGGTCTTCCATCGTTTTTTGAATCATAATTTCCATTATGTAATCAATTAAATGAGGTCTTTATCATGATAAAAATATAGATTTGCACGTGGTTTATTTCAAAGTAAATTTCTATCACTCGAAGAAAAACTTTTCTTTACCTCTCTGCTCTTTATGTATTTAAAACTCAAAATTCTCTATTCAAAGCATGCAAACACCCATTGCCGGTATGCTCTAGCTAGAATTCTGCAAATATATAGTCCGAATTAAAGAAAAAACAATCATTTTAGTCGTGCAATTTCAGTAAAATATTTTTTTTTGCGTCAAATCCAATTTTTTCGATGCGAATATGAAAAACGATGAAACCTTGAAAGAGAAAGGCGAAAAGCGAAAATAAAAAAAAGAAAGCGCCCAACGTGGGGCTCGAACCCACGACCCTGTGGTTAAGAGCCACATGCTCTACCGACTGAGCTAGCCGGGCTTGTAGGTAGATCGCGCAATATGCGTCAAGAACACCGCCGAACAACACGAACAAATGTGAAAAGGCGCGCACACATTCTATCGGCAGATGTTTATTTTTATAACAAGCTACAATTCATTGCACGAAAGTGCCAAAGGCATTCTTCTATTAGAATTTAATTAGTTAAAATCGTTTTGATATTGGAGAAAAATGAATTAATGAATGAAATAATGAAATTCAATGAAATCAAAAGTTTTAAACTTTTCATAGATTTTCAATGAGTTTTCTACATTCGAATTAAATAATTTATTAATATTTTGGCATTATTTTTATTTGAATTTGGTGAAGTTGCACGGATTTTCACAACAAAATCTAAAAAAAGTTTGGACTTGCAGAAAAATCGAATCAATAACAAAATAAAAATAATATTATAAATGAAGGAGAAATCACAGGACCCTGAATGTCTTTCTGATTAAAAATCGTGACGCATTTTAAAAGTACCATACACGTGTGCACTGATTGTATGAAATCCGATCGTATGAAGTTAATATTATAATATTATCAAATGGAATAAACATGTTTGCACGAATATTTTTATGTAATGAGAAAAATGTGCCCTTATTAAGGTATAAAATGGAGAATTAGGTTTCGAAAAAATGTAAAAGGCTTTTGAATGTTCAAGTGTGAAAATGTGTAAAATATTCGATATGGCACGACTAAATCAATTGCGAAAGAGAATTCAAAATCAAATTCAAGCTCTAGTAAGTCATCTTAGCTCATTTAACTACGCATATTACACATATTTTCATACATTTACAGATGAATACCGCCTTCATGCAGTTTATTCAGATGATATGGAAAACTGTAATTGTTCCGATTATCACGGTGTTTCGAAAATTTTTAAAAGATTTTTGCACGAATAGTAACATTCACGGTCTTCGATATTTCACCATTCAAACTCTTCATTGGAGTGAAAGGTACCAGACACATTTCGATTTTTCATCGAAACTATTTTTCAATTTTGTCTCTTTAACCATAGATTCTGGTGGATAATTAGCTTTGGCTTCGTATTTTTGTTATGCAGTTTAATGATTCGTGGCATTTGGATCGATTGGAACGAGAATCCGATGACCTTCAATCGTGACAAAACAGTGCACGTTATGAAAATTCCGTTTCCAACTATTACAATATGTCCGCGCATTAAAGTATTAAAACATAAATTAGATTTGTCGTCAAAGTTCAGAAATCAAGACCAAGAACAATTCGCATATGAATTAGCAGTGAATTTATCGGATACTGAGTAAGCCAACATAATTTAAAATATGTACAATATTAACAACCGTATGGTTTCAATAGGAAATCACAATTATCCGCATTAAGGCTCTTCTGTCCTGGATTGCATCTTTATCTACCAGAAGAACACAACGATCATTTTGTAAATGAGACAATTTATGATATTATTGAAGACAGTGCTCCAAATCTCGATTATGTGATGCGTGAATGTCGTTGGCAGCAACAAAGGGTAAATTGTTTTGATTATCTATCTCCAGTGATGACTGACCGAGGTCTGTGCTTTAAATTCAACGCATTAAATTCGTATGACATTTACACAGATGAGTAAGTCTATGTTAGTAAGTACATTGGTGTTTCGATGCATCTAATTCCAACAATTTGTGTAGAATGACTCCGGGAATGATAAACATTGAGAAAAGTCCAAATGTGTCAGGATGGAGTTTGGAAACAGGTTACACCCAAAAAGCAGAGCATAGAAAATATCCAATAACGGCTGATGCGGGCCAAAAGAATGGTCTTGAATTGATTCTTTCTCTTTTTGAACATGATTATGATCTCTTGTGTAGTCAAACCCAAGGAATCTTAATTACACTTTCGGTACCAGGCGAAACAAAAATTGGTTTTCAAAATTTTGCTAATATAGAACTATCAGAAAATCATCGATTAATAATTGAGCCCAAATATTCTGATATTTCGGAAGGACTACGCCGATATAAACCAGAGCAACGTAAATGTTTTTTTAACTCCGAGCGACAATTGCGTTTCTACAAAACATATACCAAAGGCAACTGTGTTGAAGAATGTTTTGCGAATGTCACAAAGGAATTATGTGGATGTGTACCATTTTCGATGCCAAGTATGCCATTTTTAATTGAATTTCATTGGGAGATAAATTCATTAATTTATTTTTTTATAGGGGATAATCAAACGAAAATTTGCGGTGCAGCAAAAATTAAATGCTATAAAAATGCTGTATATACTGTAAATTCTATTCGTGGATTTTCGTTCAGAGAAGAATGCAATTGCATTGATTCATGTATAAACATCGAATACAATTTGAAAGTTGAAAAAAATCATTTATATATGGAAGAAAGCAGACGCTCTCAAACGAATAACACAAGGTAAGAGGCAATTAGAATCTTTACATGAACAATATAACTAAGCAGCTAATTGAGTATTTTTCTATATCGCATTTGAACTTTTAGCCAACGCCAAGCACAGTTGTCCATATTTTTCAAAGATTCATCAGTTGAGGTAGTGGAACGAATGGAAACATATACGTTCACCGAATTTTTGGCGATTTGTGGTGGTTTGCTTGGATTATTCATGGGCATTTCACTGTTGAGCCTCGTCGAAATCATTTATTTTGCCACTCTTCGATTGTTTTGGATCATTCGCCGACCGAGAACTGAAAATATAGAGACACCACCTGACATACCACCTCCGGAAAATCAAGATGACGAGAATCGAGCGGTTTGTTAAAAAAATCTTTTTGTAAAAACAATAGAAGTGATTAAAAAAAACAATTACATGGCTACAATCACTTCTATTGTTTTCACTCAATTTCAACGTCTGACGTTAACTCGCTGAAAGTACCTAAATCTAGGGGCATTTTACTATATGCGAATGCCATTTTATACGGAATATATGAACATTTTCCTATTCATACATGAAATATACGAAGTAAAGTATATTCATCCGCATCAACATCTATGAAAATTCGTACATTTCATTCGCAACCATTCGCGAATGCCGTATACGTCTTGCTAGATGCGACAAACTGTCGTGTACAACATAACATACACATTGCTGTGTTCAGTTTGTCGTGGCAGTTTCAAACACAATGTCATTGTTCTCAACTAAATTTGAAAAACAGTTGAAGAAAAAAATACAATATTATTTTTTGAATATTATTTCAGAAGCCGTATTCGATTCGAAAAGTGAGATTTTAGAAATAAATTCAGATAATATAAAAGAAATTGAAAGTTACGTCAATGAAAATAAAAACCTTTCACAAGGCACCGTTTACAGTGATTATATTTATCATTTTAGAAAAATTTCACTCAATATTACCAAAAAAATATCAGCTAAATAATTCAGCTTGAATCTCTGTCACCTAATCTGTCACTTTGACTTTTTGAATGTAAAAATATGACTTTTCATATGCGCCATCCGCAAAATGTGTATGAAACATCCGCCACCATTCGCAAAATTTGTATGAAACATTTGCACCA